GTTTCATAAAATAATCTCTCAACACTAGAACTTGAGGGCAAGGCAGTATTTAATTTTATATGTATATTTTTAATATAAGAAAATTATCTAAAATATTCATTTGAGTATTCCTATTTTAAAAAACGCGTCTAGAGGATTTTCTATTATATTGTATCCTTTATTTCAAAAATATTATCAGTGAAAGTCATTTTTGTGTTGTTTGGTATGAGACTATTCAGCTTTACCATTAGCCTATGACGTTAATCTTTAGCATCATCGGAATTGATATATAAACAGGTTAGTTTAAAATTGGGATGAATTATAAATTTTATTTGCAATACATCGTATGTCTGGCATCCTGTTATCCTTTTGAGAGCTAATGCTACAGATCTTCTTTTTATTAGGGTCTAGCCATTGGCCTGTGATTCTCAAATAAGCTCTAAAAATATTAATATCTAATTTATAAATATAAACAAATTTTTACCTTCTATTACGTGTCCAAACATCTGCCGAGGTACATATATAGGATATCTCTGACAACTCTGCTATTAGAGCATCTTTCATCACTTCAAAGTTATCTGCTATCTTAATCATTAGTGCCTGGTGACATATACTAGGAGATAGAGTTTTAATCAACATGATAAATGATGGATTATAAACCAACATTGGCTGAGCTTTATCAATTATCGATAATGACTTTATCAGCCAATATCTGTGAAATATTGTCATGTATTATTAATCAATTTAGCTTGAATTTAATTGGTCTTTTTGGATGTAGTTTCCCCTATAATAAAATTATTACAATATTTTTCATCTCTTTAAAACTGTTGGCATGAACAATGTTATAAAATAAATAATATTAAAATTTAAAAATGACAATTACCTTTAGGTGTTTCTTGAAGTTATAGTTACTAGATTTATTTGAGGATATATTTTTTTTACATTTTAAACAAATAAATTTGTAGCCATTTTTTGTTTTTACATTAATTTGAAAATAATTTTCGAATTTTGGAAATGGAAAATGTGTATTATTATGATTACCAAGAAGATTTTCTTCCAGGGTACCTTCAATTTCATTAATATTATCATTGTCTGACTCACTCGATTTGGATATCCATTTGCGATAACATTTTAAATAATATACACAAGATGATTTAGGTTTATAATACAAAATGAAAATATAAAATTCAATTTCAAAATTAAATAATAAATCATAAAAATTATAATTAATTATGATATTATATTTAATTTTCATGTTTATAGTTACATTCATTATATCTTTAAAATTTATCTTAGCTACTTTCAAAAATAGGAGCACGTTAAAAAATTAATAATTGGAAAAAAGTAGCGTGTAGCTATGGCTTCCAAGAAAGATAGCCTGCTACAATAGCGCGCTACTTTAACAACTCTGTTGAATATATTACAGATAAATATAGCAAAAGTGAGATGTTTTTTTTGTCTTAAGGCTGATGAGACAAAAGATGCATCAGGTCGTGAAAACCTGAGCATAATTATTCGCTATATTTTTTTGGGGGAAGTCCAAGAAAATTTAATAAAGAATTTTTAATTTACAGTGTTTTGCTGAAGGCATTACAGATTGCATTTAAAGCAAATTAATGAGTTAAATATTAATCCAACGAATGTAATAAGCCAGGCATATGATGGTGCAAATGTCATGTCTGTGGAGGATTAATAAAAAAGGTCCTTTCTGTTGTTCAAAATATTTTACATTTTATTTCACGTCTAAAATATTGTTATCATTTCCAATTTTTTTAATTTATCCAATGCATTTTATTATTTTTTTAGGCGTTTTAACGTATCCTATAAATATACAGGCCATACTCTTAATAGACTTCTAGACCAGAGGTGGACTGTCATTAGTGAAGGTCGGGATCGGACCGGACCGATCTTTTTCATGAGGACCGTGGTCCGGACCGGTCTTTTTATTTTTTACGGTCCAGACAGCGGTCCGGACCGTTCTTTTATTATTGTTTAAGTTTGCTTTACTATACAATTAATATAATTTTTTTGTATATTTTATTTTATGATATTTTTCTAGAGGAGTCATTTTAGATTTTGTTAATTTTTATTTTACAATATGAAAACCATAAGTTTGTCCAAGAAACATTTTACTTATAGTCCAATAAAAACATAGAGTATGTGTTCACTGCAGTATCAAATTTAATGTATCGTCAGCACCTAGTAACAAAATAATTGTTTATAATTTTTTAAGCAATAAATTAATCAAAATAAGCAATAATATTATTAAAATATTTTAGTTATTATATAGTTCCATTTTTTTTAAAGAAACTGTCTGTATAATTTATTGTAAAAATTACTTAACCTTATTCTTAATAAAATAATTAGGTACCTTCAACAGACATCTGATAAAACATAAAATATATACTTCTAATGATGAAAATATCTCAAAAAACACAATCTACTCTTAATTTTAATATGCCCTCTACAAGCACAAAATTATTTTTTTCAATACCATTGGATAAATTTTATTGTTTATATAATACTCTTATATTTAATAAAATGATAAAACAAATCAAATTAGGTTAAAAAAATATGTTTTTTAAACAGGACCGGTCTTTTTATTTAGGACCACGGTCTGGATCGATCTTTTTCTTAGGGACCGTGGTCCGGTCCGGTCCGAGGGTATCGGTCCAGTCCGGACCGTGACCTTCACTAACTGTCATTTAAAGACATCTCGCCATTTAGAAAATTTTGAGGCTATTAATGTTACAAATTTTTAAAAATTAGCAAAAAATTTCTATGAATGCATAACTATTTGTTTTATTTAAAAAAAATAGTGGCCCCACTAAGTAGGTAGCGGGCTCCCCAGCTGGAAATTCTTGGCTACGGCCCTGTGTATATATCATAGGGTGTAAACAGTATAATAAACGCTTAAACCGCTTTGGATGGAAACAACCTATGGTAAGCGGAAAATAATTCCCAGGAAAAAAAACCCCAATAATAATTCTTATAAAATATCTCCGGAATTGATCTTCTCAAAATTTTTAAATATATCATTTGAGGATTTTTATTCCATGGATATATTTATAGGGAATTTTTTCTCTCATTTTATTAATTTTTAATATCTTAAAAAACGGGGATTTTTTCCGGGGAATTATTCACTAATAATCAAAAAATTTAAATTGTACCTTGAACTTTTATGTTTGGAAAGGCATGTATTGGGGCTAATTGATGGCAAAATATCTTAGATAAAATGTCTATAGGCAAACCGCCGGCACACCGATCACACTTATAATGATAGGTGGATACATTTTTATATAATAAACTTTTCTCCCTACAGGGAATTATATACGCCTATTTTTAACGTTACATTATAAACTTTGACAGAGATTGCTTTCCAGAGAATTATCCTTGCCAGAAAGATTATAACTGCTGCGACAATTCGTGTAGATGTTTTTTTACCAGGGCGCATTTCTGTTTGTGTTGATTGCATCTAAAATGAAATAATTCCTGTATAACCTTTATATATATAAATAAAAAAATTATATACTTGTAATTTATGAAATTTTTTGATTTATTAATATGTGGAAAAATATTTTTATGAATTTTGGAATAAAAAACAATTGAAATAAATGTATATTTTAACATTATAATTTAAATAGCAAATTTTATAGCTATATCTAGTGTTGTTAAAGTAACTTGAGTCAAATCTGTCTAATTTGGACGCCGTGAATAAAGATTTTCACCCCACTTAGAAAGCTGTCCAATTTATCTAGCCCTTTTACTTTAAAAAAAAGCATTTTACCACTTATTATATTCTTAGTTTAGCAAAAAAGCGAAAAAGCTTCGAGAATTGATTTTTTGACTTTTCAGTTTTCGATCTTTAAATAAATTTCAATTAAATTTTTTGTTATTTCGATCAGCATCTCTAGCGTTGATTGAATGAGAGTAATAGATACAATTTTTTTGTATGTGGGCATTTATTGCAAGAGTCCACCTTTGTCCTTAACTATCGACCTGGATCTTGCATATACTGTAAATGTGTAGTGTGACTATATTTGTGTTTATCCATAGTTCTTCTGGAGATATAAATTTTACATTTGTTAACATTAAATAATAATTTTCTATGTATAGAAAAAATGAAAATTTTATTTTGGTATGTCTAACAAATTTTGTTATTAATATATCTAAGAAAATTAAAATTAATGATTTTTTTAAAAATAGCATTCAAGCTGATTCTTGGGTTAGAGAAATGATTTAAAGTAGTTATTCTTTCTTTCCTTCCCTTCTACAGGGGCACTTGACAACAGAGTGGTTGCTATATTTAATGAATAACAACTTTATATTTGGATAATCATTAAATATATCTAATCCCGACACTCATTTTAAAAAAAAATCATTCAAAATTTAGAGTATCAAACTTATATAATCTAAGGGGTGCCCAAAAATATATTAAAATTATTTCACTTTTTTCACAGATTGTCTAGAAATATTGTTCTAAAATTTTAAAGTTCTGGTTTTCTGTTGTAATGAAATAAACTCTGACATATTATTTATAAAAATAGATAGATACCTCTTAAATAGTGTCTGATACATTTAAAAAAGTGTATCTAGGCAGATACCACATTTTTGAATCTAAATTATTTAACAACTCTGATAAATATAGCATTAATATCTTTACATCCACGGGCTTGGTCTATACTTAAATTGTTAATATTATGGCCCAGTCCATGGCCCCAGTACCAATTTGGTTATATTATTGGACGATTTCAACTGCTGAAAATTTTTTAAGAAACCAGCTTTTAAATACCTTCTACTTAAATACTATAATAATAATAAATGTTTAAAAATCCCATATCTTTTATTATTCATTTTATATAAAAAATTACAAACAAATCATTGATTCAAATTTTTCAATCAAAATGATAAAATATGACTTTTAATAAAATACAAATCATAGGATATACTTGTGTAAAACCAATTCGTTTTCTTCATAAATCATTTCGTTTTTTTAAAATCATTTTTAACCCATAATTCATAAATATCATAAAGTGGCGCTATTAGAAAAAAACATTAATTTTTTTTGGCGAAAATAGAATATTTCAAAATTTTGTGTTAAATATAAATATTTCCAAGGGCTTATTAAACTTTTAAAATATTGCTGGTAAAAGTAAAAGATGTGTTAAATTCAGTAAGATTAAAATATTTGATTAGGACGGGGTATAATATAAAATAGTTACAGATTGGGAAAAAACCATTCATTAAAGTGCTTGCTTATGTTAAAATAGTTTTGTTAAAATGACAATTATTTGTATACTCTAGACTTAGTAACAAATTATAAAAAAAATTTTTAAAAAAGAAGAAAGTATATTCGTGAATATGCCTTGATTGTGTGTAAACAATCATCAATAATTTTATTTTTTTTTAAAAAAATTGATTATATAATAATTTATGTTAAAATAATTTGTAAAATTTAAAAAAAGAGCGATTTAAATATGCGCATGTGTCAATATAACCGTCAATAATAAATATGATCCAATGATTGTTAATTCTGTATTATATAAATATATATAGGTTATTTAATATTATTAGTATTCTTCTTTTGAGCATCAATTAAAAGATATAATAATTTCATTAAAGAAATGGTGTATTAAAATATAATTATTTTTTCCAAAAAAACATTCGACTTTTCTGATCAAATAGTGAGGGTGACCATTAAAAACAGTTCCAAGTATTAAGGAACTATCTAATAAGTAGTTGTTTTTATTTTTAAATAAAAATTCATTTTTAAAAAATGAGTAAACGATGGATGAGTCCATTTTGTGAATAGATGTGTTACAGAGTGAATTTATATTTAAAAAAAAATATAATTCATTTTGTGACGATATTTGTTAAGACAAGGATAAATCATGCTTGTGTTATTAGCATCTGTATTTGTCCGGTTTGAGAATACTGTTAGCGCTATAGTTATTGTTCGAAACGGGATTGGCTATATTATTTTTCGAAGTATTGTTGAGGCAGTTTAAGGGTGCTTGTTGTAAACTTTTTATCGGAGCTATAAAGAAAGTAAATGAATAATAAATATTTTTTTAAACTCCGTAACAACATTAACTCGACACTAGAGGTGGTAACTTTTGATTAGTCAATTTGTGGAAAGGGTAAAAATGAAGGCGAGTTAGCGGGGATAATTAGTTCCTTAACTATTATAGGGTTCTAACTCAACTCTTTTGAAAAATGGAGTTCCTATCCTATAAAAATGGGCGAGATGGACGTTTAACTTTCTCTAGAAATAATCGATTCTTTAATAACCGGTTCCCTCTTTCAGGTAGGAAATAAAATGAATCACGTCGATCATATAATATGACGGGTAAAGGTGGTAAATCATTATTTAGTTACTCACATTTTATAGTGGGAAAATTAACTGAGGTAATTAACTAAAGGGTTATTTTTGGTATTTATTCCTTTATTACTTCCAGTGAAGGATTTGTTATTGTTTAAGAACAAATTATCCAAATTTATGTCAACTTTCCCTTTTAAATCAGACCACGTATTATTATTATCCAGAAAATCGCCATTTTTGGGGGATCTATCGTTGTTGGAGATTTTGTAACTATTTCTATCGGTCATATTTCCCGGAGAATTTTCAAAATTTTGATAGGAACTGGGGGTCAATAGATCAAACTTTTTAATAACAAAAAAAAGCAATTAGTATTTAATATAAAATAAAATGACATAAAAATTGATTTTTCTTAATGTCACTCTGTCAAATATATGTATTTTTAAATTCTTAAACGATACAAAAATATTTTAATTCCTTCTCACTTATTTTTATTGTATAAAAAAAAATTCATGTTCATTAATAAAATAGTATAATAAATAATCGAATCTAAAAAACTGTATTATTAGAATGGGTTTGATGAGGCAATTTGATATTTGTACGCGATAGTGGAAGTGCAGAATCGGTTAATAGATCAAAATTCATATTTTTCCCAATGATCGTATTGGAAAGTGAATTAGTCGCTAAAATTTAATATTAAAAGATATCACATCTATAATGAAACCCTTTTTCAAGACTTACTGAGATTGACAAAAATCATAATTTATTTAATATAAAATCGAAAAACTTGATTTAAATACTATATTTGGGAGGAAAATAACTCCTGAGACAAATTTATTAACGGTGGACATGTATACATTTTATCATCAAATATTTATTTCCCCTGTAACATTTACGAATAAACTAATAATATCGAATTTGACAAAAGAAAGTATTTTAAACATTCGTTATCAGTATTTAATAATTGTTCATTTATAATTGAAAAAATAGTCTGATTATTTTAATTAAATTCCTTTTTTTAAATTTTAAAATCATTTAAAAAGGTGGTTTATTTGTATTCTTTTAAATTTTATGTTTTTAATTTTTAAATATTTCATTTATTTGTCGACGAATTTTAAATTTAAAAATGAATATTTTTATAGAAATTCAATTTATAAAAAGAAATAATTCCAGGATTTATACTAAAAATATAAAATTATGATAAAAGTTAGCAATTAATTAAAACTTATATGAAAAATAAAAAAATGAAAATAAGGGTAATAATAAAATGTTTTTGAACAAAAAATACTAATAATTATTTAAAATACAAGTAAAAAAAATAGAATTGATTTAAATTTTAATCTTTTATCCAATAAAAATTTATTGATTTAAATGAATTTGACTTAAACATGCCAACCCTAAATTCTAAGTCCATATTACGAAAATGCTTTTGATTAGCAATCTTCCTACTAAATGGGTCAAAGGCCCTAATCCTATTTGAACGATTACTGTTTAGAGGTCTTATTCAATTTCATATGGTAACTATTAATAATTAAAATAAATTTATAAAAAAATTATCTTTCCTATCAAGTAAAAATTGAAATAATGAATCTTAAAATTGATTGAGCAAAAATAATTACAATAATAATGCAAAAATACCAGTAACGTTTGGAAGGAAAGGATTGAAAGAATTTTGATTGCTGGCTGATTTGGCTATCCCGCCCCAAGATGAAAAATCACTGAATTCATCACTTCAATGTTATTTTTTATTTTATGTGAACAAAATAAATCTAAAAGATCTTATAAAAAAGAATATAAGAAATATATTTTTTTAAGAGACATGTAAGCCTAGCCCAGATCAAAGCCTTGCCCAAAAATTTATTATAAACAGGGTCCTAAAAATATATAAAAAATTCATAATCTGGGTCTTTAAAAAATATCTTTTAATTATAATATTAATCAGTAGAAAAACCATATAGAGGGGAGACGTCGGATATTAAAAGACTGGTCTGCGGACCGAGAAAAAAGATTTTTGGGCCAGACCGAATAAATTGTCTAAAATATTTTTACCAGAACGGCCGAAGTTTTGAAAATATTTTAAAAGCTGCTAATTAGGAAAATTTATGTCGTTTTCATAAAAAGTTATTATGTGGTAAGGGGGGGGCACTTCGTACAAAATATATTTTAAAGGCTGGGCCTAGCCGATTTCTAATGGAGTGTCTAACATTCTTTTACTGTTCATCAATCTTCCTTTGAAAAAATTTACAAAATACAACAGATGAGAAAATACATATAGAAATTGACACTGTAATTCTACCTAAGGGTTTAACTCTGTTGGCGGCTTCTCTAACCATAATTATTCAAAATAATGAGACCTCACAGCAGTCTCTGATTTTTAGGAAAAAATAATTTTTTTTTAATTGCTCAATTTGTGTGTCACCTAGTTTCTACTAAAATTATCCTCAAAAATAAAGGATATTTCCCTATTATTAAACAACTTATTCCTAGGACTGTAACCGTTACTTCAAAAAATTAACGATTTATCCGTTACCTTGTAAAAAAAGGGACGTGTTACTCACTATTTTAGAAAAGTAACGCGTTACTCTTACTTATCGAATAATAAATATTATATATAAATTTTCTTTTTATTTTTTTCTCCCACTGTTATATTTTAATATCTTATATATTTTAAAAGGTTATAATTTGAATATTATATTTATAACACATACAACTTTCCTACATTTAATATTATATTATTGAGGTCAATGTAATTGCATAATATTAGAAGTTAAATTACATAATTATAAATATTATATATAGAAAATAATTTAACCAATTGTTTTGACTATAAAACCTACATAAGATAATAAAAATAAAATTATGCAAAAATAATATATTATAAGATGAGTTAACAAATTGATCACATAAATAAGAACGCACAGCTTTCGTTGTGCTAAACACAAGTTCAACTGGGGCAGAGGACGAAAGTATTGAATTATATTTAATAAATAATAATTTTAATTGGGGAAATTTATTAAAAATATTTAAAGAAATTTTCAAAATAACTTCTGATTATTCTCACAAAAATCTTCATTCCGATTCTCATCAAATTATTTTTTATATCTTTATCAGAATTTAGTTTAGAGAGATGTCGTCTATTCTAGCAAATAAAAACGTATCTCTGAAGTTAAGGGGAAAGTTTACATAAGCTGTGTGAGGAGTTATTTAGTTTATGGCGGCGAAACATGGGCAATGAAAGTGACCCACGAAGCCAAAGTGGAAAGAACAGAGATGAGGTTGATTAGATGGATGTATGGGGTATCTTTGAAAGAAAAATTAGCAAGGAATTGCGAGCAAAAATGGGAATAGAAGTGATTGGAGTTGTAATGGAAGAAATACTAAGTTGGTTTGGGCATGTGGAACGTAAACCAAAAGATGACTGGGTAAAGAGATTCATCTTGATGGAAATAGGAATATCAAGACCTCGAGGAAGGCCTAAGATACCTTCATTTTTTTTGAGGTAAATATTTGAATTAGGGCATAATCGAAAATAAAAAATATCGACCAGAGATGTGAACCCTTCGACAACAGTAACAAAAATACAATAAATAAAAATGAAGAATTTTGATGTTTGATCTGAATTAAAAACTCAGCTTAAATTATTTATAAAATTTAAATTAAAATTATTTTCCCATATTTTTAAGGAAAATTTTTTAAGTAATGTTTTGCGTTACCGTTACTCAAAAAAAGAAACGCGTTACTCGTTACATCTTGAAACCAGTAACAAATAGTGTCCCTTTACCTCAAAAAGGGAAAGCCGTTAGTAACAACGTTACTTTACAGCACTACTTATTCCTATTTAATATTTATAACAGAACCTACTTTAATAGATGAATTCCATTTTGATTAACGGTATTGTGTTTGTTAGGAAGACTTTGTTGAGGGGAGGATATAATATCTGCTAGCATGTCTACATTAGAAGATTTAACATTGATCTGTTTTGTTTCGCATAATTTGGGAAATTCTAAGTTTTGGGCATGGCCTCCTCGTTGATTGAATTCCTTTTGTTTCGTAGATGGGAGAAACTGTCGGAATAATATTTTTTTATCAAAAAAAAATTTATAAAAGAAAAAAAATAGATTTTTATATTTTCTTTATGATCTATTTCCTTTATTTAAAAAAAACCATATCTCATCTTTCCATTTTACCTTTTTTATTCTATCGCTCTTTTAATGTATAATCTTTTAAATAGGTAATACTTAATCTGTCAATATAAATAAATTAGCTTTACTTTTAAAAATAATGTATGTCGAAAGAAAAAAAATATATCACATTTTAAAAAGAGCATTGTAAGTAGGGATGTAAAACATAAGAAATTTTCCAAGAAATAAGAGAAATTTCCCCTATAGTTTTCCCAATTTTTATAATAGGTTTTTTGCTTAAATCAGCATGATTTTTATAATATTAACATTCTCTTAAAAATGGTCTTATGATAAAATAAATACGATTTTTATTATATATTATAAAAATATTTTCTCCTCGTGGTTCATATCATAAGTTATAATTGTGTTTTGTTTTTGAATATATGTTCATTTCCTTATCTCCATTTGCAAAATTCTAGAAGATACTTATTAAAATTACCCCACCAAATAATAATGTTGCTGATTTCAGTGATAAACCAACTTTATCTCCCAATATTAATTCTAATAAAAATGATGATATAAACAAAAATGAAATCCTTTCAAAAAAACAATGTAATGAAATACATTGATAACATAACAACTGAAGAACAAAGTAAACTGGTAATTGAATTTGCACAAGCCATCTTTATGTCAAATTGTCCATTTTCAATAACCCATTGTTTGTATTGGAAGAAATTATTTCAATCCTTAAGACCTGCTTTTAAAATGCTTTCCAGATATATACTGAGCAAAACATATTAGACAAAAAGGATAGAACATATAGTAAATGAAAAATTAGACAAAAGCAAAAATTTGACTCTCATTAAATGGGTGGACAAATATAAGAGGAGAATGCATTATCAACTTTATTCTGGTAACCCCTTGCCCCATTTTCTATAAATCGATTGACACATCAACAACATGCATACAAATTTATCAAGGTAATTGAAGAGATAGGAATTTTAAAAATCAACACCATAATGCAAGCAATATGAAAAAAGCAGGGGCCCTTTTAAAAATTATATATCCAACTATTGAATAAATCTACTTCTAAAGGATATAGCAAATAAGATACTATTCAAATTTTAGTCACAAAAGCTATAAATATTATCAAATATATGTAAAATCTAAAAATATTCTTTTATCAACCAAGAAAAATAACTCCTAAGAAAAAATAATAAAATTGTTTTCCTAAAGTTGCCTAGCCCAACTCGTTTGGCTGTTATAGTTTTGATGATAGCGTGTTAAAAAATAAAAAAATTCTACATGAAATGGCAATTCTTGATATATTTACTGATCGAGATAAGAGACTTACTCTTCTCGATAATGATGGGTTTTTAAATGATTTAATGCAGGTATACAATTTTTAAGTCATATTTACACAAATAGATAGTAGAAGGGAATAATTTATCTGATGTCCCTCAAGCATTTATTCATGTCAGGGGGACATTTAACGAATATAAAACAATATCAAATCTATTGTGGCAGAGCGTGATTTTAGAATTTTTGAGCAGTTTATTAAAAGCCGAAAAAAATTTTGTTGCTGGGACATACATTATGCTGCTCATATATTTGACCGGTTTTGCGGATTTAATTTAAGATGAAGTTGCAAAGGGGTTGGATATCATTAACCGATTTTCTGAATATTTAGTTAATGCGAGAGTAATAGAGAAATTTCTGCAAATGACAAATTGTGGATTCTAGAATTCCAAGCTATGATCTGGAATCTTTTTCTTCTTCTAACGAAGATAACTAACAAATTACTCAAAATTTTATTTTAATATTGTTTATAGTCTATAATTTCAAATAAAACATGTAAAGATATCACAAATTAGTTGAAATTAAATCATATTTGTTTATTTATAATGTTTATAATCAATATTTTCAATAAGCATAAAAAAAATCAATATTGACCTGTAAAGTATTATAAAAAAGAGAGTTTCCCGTTTCTCCCATTGTTTCCCTATTTTCTCCAAATTTCCCGGGAAATTTAGTTAAAATTTACATCCCTAATTGCAAGAATTCCTAACCTTAAACATGCTATTAAGTATCAAATCATATTTTCAAATAGAAAAATAATTACGTCTCCAACATCGTTCTTTTCAGTTTTAAAATCTGCAATATTGAATAGATCATCGGATTGTGATTGATTTGAAGATTTGGAATAATTTCTTTCATCTTTTTTAGGGTCGGAGTTTGCGGTAAAATCTCCAACAAACATATTCGAATCTTATTTTAAAAGGTTTAAAAATTTGAATTATACGTTTTTTAAATATCAGTCTGTCTGCCATGCCACAGCGCAGTATAATCGCTCTTTATAAATAGCATTTTTTTTGCTATAATATTTAAATGCTTTTAGATATAATGTACCATATTATTAATAATTATATGGTCAGGATTGTCTCACTATAAAACCTTCTTTGGTAACATTTTTAATATTTTAAAGGAAAAAATGTATTTGAAAAATTAACGATAAATTTAAATTTAACAAGGAACAGGATTTCCCATTCCAAAAAAGGAAAATGAAAATTTTTTACTGAAAAAAGAAACATTGTTAGTTAATCTTTTTTGTCTTTCTTCAATTTTATAATTTTTTTTGTCTATTATTAAGTAAAATTTTCAATATTAATTTTTGAAAATAATTTTCTTTCCTTTTGTCATTTACTTACTATTAATTCTTCCTCATTATCTTCTTCTTATTTGTCATCTTTTTTATTTTCCTCATTTCTTTCAATATTTTAGATTTTCTTTTAAATTTTTTCAAAATACTAAATACATTTCATTATGAAATAAAAAGTATTGTTACTATTATAACATTATTGGAAAATTTTATAAAGAACAGATAAAATAATTATAAAGAACATTAATGGTATCAGAGGAGTTGGGTATAATTACTTTTAAAAGGAATTCATAATTAATTACAATCATTTACAAAAAAGTTATAAAGTGATGTCGTTGGAATGATATTTTTCTAAAATTAGTTAAATAATTTAAGCTTGTTTAATTAGTTTAGTTTTTATCCAATGTTAGGCGGGCGCATTATCTATTTTATAACAATGAAAATGATTAAAAGGAATTAATTATACACACAAATTTTTTGTAATTAATTATATTAGTAAATATAAATATTTTAAAAATTAACTTAAATATAAGTTTAAAAAGTGCAAGATGGCGAGGAAAATATAAAGACCAATAAAAAATGATGCTATCAATAAAACATAATAAAAAAGGCTAAAAGGCTAGTTACTGTCGTTTTTGAGAATAAATTCTTGTGCCTTAGGTCCCAGGTCGATGACCCCGGTCCGAGCCAACACTACCCTAGAGGAAGGTTTCTTATTCGCGTTTTTATTTTGAGTGGCAACGATTTTAGGTCTTAAATTTGTGTAACAAATACGTAAAGTAAAATCGGCATAGAGTTAATTTATAGTTTTAACTTAACTTATATCAATTTTATGTGAGAGCCATTCAAAAAAAAATACGTGCCATCTAGCTAGCATATAAGAAACTAATATTTAATATTATATTACCCCCATTTTTAAGTTTAAAATAAAAGGTGGATGGAGAGGAATTCTTGAACTCTAACTTAATTTGAAATAAAAGTGGAATTAAAATATTAATGAGAGTAAAATTTATAATTCCAGTCTTAATTTTTGCCTATTTAGATGTACACCAAAATTTAAATATAACTCCAATAATACTTTTGGGTTTTGTATTATAAAATAATAAAAAGGCATAATTTTAATGTAGATTCAATCATGGATTTTTTAAAGGATAGAATTTTTAGAGGATTCAAAGTTCGAAAAGATGAGCTAGATGAGTGTAAAACAATCCGGTGACCCGAGTTTCGAACCAAACTGAATTTTTAAAAATAATATTTTTCGCACCGGTTTAGTCTCTCGAACCCGTTTTCACAGTCATTTTAGAGATGAAATATAAAGATTATGACTGAACAATGGCTCAATTTATTGCTTATCATTTACTTGGCCATAGCCGGGGTATCATCCATATCTGTTTTAGAAACGTCAGAATTTGCGCCAAAATTGTCAGAGTTTTTAAACTTTTCGTCCAAATATGTAACGGGTTGCGATTGGCTAGACGTCTCCTCGAGAGATGATTGGTCATAATCAGCTGATTCATATTTTTTTAGAAATAAAAAAAGTGAGATAATTTTTTTTCCGCATGAAAAAGCCATCAATTTTTTTTTCCTTCATTACTTTTTATTATATAATTTAAAAAATTTGTTTCCTCAGATAGGCGTGATCACTTTAAATTTAGGCCAACCTTCCTTCCCTCATCAGAGACGCCTCTGGTAATAATATGTAAAGTAGGATAATATCAACTCAATGAATTTTTTCGATTGGGTAAATTTATTCAAAATTTAAAGTATCTGAAGTAAGGTGTAGCATTAAAGATTAGAGTTAAAGGGTTGAGAGATATAGGTTCGGGATAATGTACAATAAAAATGAATTGAAATAAAATTTAATCTTTTTTGTCAAATCTGGCAGGTCATGTGACAATAGAGGAGTAGTAATTTAAATCCGCTGCTGTAATGGTAATTTCCTTGGGTTAGACCATACTAAAGTAGCCAGTACATTATTTTTTTTAAATATTACGATAAATTGCATTTTGAAGAGGTTTACATTTAAATTAATATATTATCTTATTTATCTGTTAAAACATTTACGAACCTAAAAATGTTGAGAAATAAAAGGTATTTAGGGCAATCTATAAAATGACCTACGTCCCTATAAAAATCACATCAAGGAGACATAATATTATATTACAATCCGTTTTTATTTGGAGACTCGTTTTGTTCTGCGCATATTATGTGTGGTGTTGGGACATGGAATCCAAGGGGATTCCGAATCTCTCAATTTTAAAATAATTTTAGCGAGAGATTTTTAAAATTATTAAAAATATGATTTTACTGGTAATGTATTCCAGCATTATGTAAAGTTGTTACATTACCTTATAAATTTTTAGAAAATTTTGGCCATCAACTTTTATGCACCCTGTACTGGCTGAAATAATGGTTAATCTCAATATTAAGAACGGGTAGTCTAGTCGGTCAATCATTTATTATATAAAAATTGTTTTAATTTCAAAAGATAATTAGTTATAAATAGTGCTGCAAGCATATTTTTTTGAAACGCGAATTCGTTCGCGTCCATCGTTCACTTGCAAAAAAAAAGGAAAGGAAAGCGTTCAAATTTATATAAATCTATGAGTGTAAATATTTCTAAATGTATTTAATATAATATAAATACATTCTTAATAAAAGGATAACAAAAAATATGAACGATAAAAATGTGATATAAAATATAAATTATATTATACTAATTAAAAATATTTCCTATTAATTTTTAATGATTTTTTTTTAAAATTGTCGTTTGATATATAAGAGCGTAGTAGTTCAATCCGGTATGAATGGCCTTCTTTTTATTTTTGACGAACCTTGATTGTGAACACGTTCCTTTTTTGACGAACGCGTTCGTGATCTACGTTCGTTCAATTTTGAAAACTATTTTTATTAATATTCATTTGAAAATAAAAAAAATATTAATTCGAATTTATGAGTGGTTTCCTTTATCAAATTTGAATTTTTTTTAACCCGCCACTATTTATGTTCTATATTATAGTTCATTAATTTGAATATTATTATCATATATTAATTTTATAGATTAGCATTAGCATGGATATTGTTATTTCATCATTATCTGATTCTGAAAATTAAGAAATAAATACTTTAGTAACATCTTATATTCAAAGAAATTAATTCTATCTTTATCAAATGTAAAATGTGTCCAAAAAGTATAATAACAGTTTCAAAATCTTCAAGTCCTAATTTAAAACTTAATTGTAATATTTATTATTCTACAAAATATAAGTATAAGTAGCCTAATAATTTTTTCAAATATTTTTTAAAGATCATAAGAAATGTTGTATTTCATATAATTTTATGAAACAAAGGGGGGATAAATATTTTTAATAAATTCCCTGCACTAAGAGAGTTATTTATAAAGTATATAACTGCAATTTTCCCATCTGCCCCTGTAGAGCGTGTTTTTTAGTGTATAATGCAATATTAAATACCAAACCTTCCTGTCTATCAGAAGAAAATATTAAAAAATTAATAAGAAAATTTTAAATAAATCTATTAATTTCAAACATAGCTAATATATTGTGTAAAAAAAATTATAAGGCATTTATTTATTAAAGTTTTGAAGGAACGTGAACGCCTTCCTTTTTCTGAAGATGAATGTTGAGGGTGAATGTGTTAGGTTATTGTCAATGAACGTTGAACGCGTTCGATTTTTTTAGAAATGTTTACAGCATTAATTTTAATGAATGAATTGTGAGTTGAGGTAAGTATTAAATGCCATCGGGTTGCTATAAGTCTTAAAGGAGGTTTCCGGGTTCAGTGGAAAAAAGCTCAAATTTTTTAAAATAATTTTTAGTTTTTGTGGAAGCCTTATCCAATGCCATTCGAGTTATACCCGATAACATCTATAAAATTAAAATAAAACCATATCAAATAAAAGTAAGGAATGTACATTAATCAGACTCAGAATTGAATAGGGGCTAAAAAAATATTTGAAGGAATGAGTTAATAAATCTTCCTTTAAAATAAATAAAAATCAGATTATTTTAACTGTAAAAGGTTTCAAAATTAGTTTTATTCTTCGCTTAAAACAATACGTTGTAATATAGGATAGGAATAGTAGGTTCCACCTATTATTACTTGCCGATATTCAAAAAAAAGGGCTGATTTTTTGAATAGTTTTTTTTTCAACATTAATTTAAAAGTTGTGTTTGGGATCCAAACTGAACCTGAACCGTTAAACCGCTAAAAACCTGTATTTTTTATCGAACCTAAACCGAACCTAAACCTCTAAAAAATTTCTAGCCGAACCTGAACCGAACCTCTAAAATGCCTCTGAACCGGTTCGAGTCTCATAATTTTATGCTTATAAAATTATGTCTAAGTTATTACTATACTAGTAGTATATTGCAAATATTTTAATTATATTCCAATTGTTTTAAAAATTATTATCAATCACATTTGATTGATAAACCCGCTAAAATGCCTCTGAATCGGTTCGAGTCTCATAATTTTATGCTTATAAAATAATGTCTAAGTTATTACTATACTAGTAGTATATTGCAAATATTTTAATTATATTCCAATTGTTTTAAAATATATTATCAATCACATTTGATTGATAAACGTCAGTCATAATTTTTATAAACTTTAGTGTATTGCCATTTTGCAATATTTTTAGCTTATAAATTATAATGAAAAAAATTAAATCTAATATATAAATTATTTACATATAGTATTATAAATGACACATCAAATCTGATATCATACTGGCAATGCCAGCTACCCAAGTTAGTGTAGAAAGATGTTTTTCAACAATTAAATTTATATTATCTCCTTATAGATGTAATTTGAGTGAGACGAATTTTGAAAATATATTAATTGTGCAGCTTAATAAAAAAAATTTAAGTAATTGTTCATATTTAAATTAATCATTGATATATTTATTTGTTATATTTATAAATTAAATATTATTTTATAATGTGCAATTAATAAAAATGATGGTTTTTATTTTAATTATGAAATAAAAAAAAAAATTTCCTAATCCTAATGTAGGTTTGAATACAAATGTGTTCAAACAGGTTTTTAGAGGTTCGAACCGAACCGATATTTTTATTTTTTGCGAACCGAACCTGAACCTTAAACCATTATTTTTATCCGAACCTGAACCGATATTCGTTTCGGTTTGGATTTATTTTTTTATCTAATTATTTATTTAATTTTTACGATATATGGCTTAATTTAGTTACTTTATTTTAATAATGGTATAAAAAAAAAATTTTTGATCATTTTGCAGCTGCAATTTAATTTTTTTATATAAGGATTTTAGTTGATATGTATCGTTCTATGGTGCTAAGATAAGGGATTAAAATTAGGATAAATTTTAAATATCGTTATCGGATCTATTTTGGTGAATATTGGGTAAAAGTCCTCAAATAATATTAAAATGAAATCGATCACATTAAGGAAGGAAGTTGGCCAGAACTCCACGATAGCCTAACTCCCTTTAAGATTATTAATAATCTCCATCATAGAATCAAATTCTTCCCTCCTTATAAGATATAAATTTGATAGAAGAAAATCCGGAAGATATTTAATTTTCATAACGGACTCAATAATCCTTTTTAGGGATTAGTAATAACATTTTTAAAAATTTAATTCTCTTTTAATTCTAATAATGTTTTATGTGTAAAAAGTTCAGCCGGGTTTTAGAGGTTCGAACTAAAAGAGAGCTGTAATTTTTATCTGAATCGAAACCTGAACCGATATTATTTGCGGTTCGAATACCTGTATAAAAATTCCTTTATTTATATTTTATTAATATTTTTTGGACGAAATTACAGTAAGTCCCGAAAGAAGAATGATTGTTGTGGCGCGAGACTGACCCCGATTGGTTGGAAAGACCGACAAATTTTTCGCGATTGGCTTTAGCTTTTTTTCTCTCCTCCTTGAGCCGTTCGTCGTTTTGAACAAAATCTATCAACTCTTTAACCTTCTGACGTACTGAGATATTTATAAATAAAAAAATATAATAAATTATTTCAAATTTATTTTATATTATACCTTTTTTTTAATTTATTGATTTTATTTCTTTAACTTCCTTTCTTAATTTAGTTATGATAATAAATTTCTTTTATTCATTTTTCATTCCAATTCTCTCTATGTTCATTTGTCTATCGTCGCAAAGGTAATTATAGTTAATAATTTTATCTTTAAGATTGGGGTTTTTTTTATAAAAAAAATCAATTTTAATACCATGGGACTAAAAAATATAAAAATAAAGTATATTCAAATTTTTTTGCTGATAAAATAATATATTTCCCGAAGACATTTCCTATCCATTTCTCTTGTCAAATCAGTGTTATCCCCCATTTTGATAAATTTTGTAAAAAGTTATTTAATTTTTTTTAAGCAAAAAAGTAAGGCTCTAAATTCCATTTAACGATGCCTAAAGAAACAGGTAATCTGAAAAATAAAATCGCCAAAAAGAGAGAAAAAAAACTTATAATAAATGAGAACATAATAAACTATTTATTAAACTGCGTTCATGTTAGTCTTGACTCTTTTTTTTAATTTTTAAAAATCACATTCTTTATCCAGAGAGTTATTTAGAATTCTAAAAAGAAAATAAGACAAAAATATTATATTAAAATTGCAAGTTCTCGAAAAAAAAAATTATAAGTTATTTTATATTTTGGAAGTGATATTCGTAAATTTTTCTTTTTTTTTGATTTTTTTAGAGGGCCGAAAGGCATTTTTTTTTGAATATTAGAAAATTGAAATTATGGTTTATTTTTAACATAAAGTATTACAATATATGGAGCTGTTTTTTTATCCTCTTAAAAAATAAAATAATAAAAATATTATTCCCATAATTTTTCAATTTCTATGATACAAGGCCATTTTTTTGTTATGTATTATTATTGGCTTGTGCTTATCTATATTTAATATATGTTTTTGCTTTATATAATATTTATAACTTCTTTTTTATCACTATTCTTCTTTCATTTTATTTAGTTCTTTCATGTTTCTTCGGTTAATGTTAAAAGTAGTTAAATTTTATTAAAATCGTAATTAACGTAACTAACCTTATCCCATATCTCTAACCATAAAACTACCTCGCCCAAGAGTGTTGGCGTATTTTAAGGGGATGTTAATTGAGCATGTGAACCCTCTTCCCTCCCATTTCCCAATTTTTTTCAAAATTTTCTAAATAAAAAATTTGAATCTGCAGTAAGCCTATTCAAAAACGAATGCAAATAATTTGCTAGGAATGTACCGATATTTTTCGTCGGCTCGGATCGGGACGAGTTTTCGTCTTTTTTAAAATATCGGTTATCTGTCGATGTTATTAAATTGGCAGATTTGATCCGATAAAATGGCGTCCTAAGTTAAATTAATTAATTTAAGAAAATATATTTATGTATAAATTAAGAACATTCTTATATAAATGAAGTGATATTTTTTAAAAAAAATAAAATAATTGAAAATAAAGTTTGTTAAAAATATAATAAAAGCCTAAATGATAATTTAAGTAAAATTTGATAAAGTATATATTTTTTTAAATGGCTTATGTTGTGGTATAATAAAAATTAAAATATATTAAAAATCGGATAGACTAATCGGCCGATATTGATTTATATCGGCAAATAGTACCGGCGGGTGGGCCTCCAAAGAATGGTATCGGCATACCCCTATAATTTGCTATTCGTAATTATACCAATCGAACTAGAATAGTATATTTTATTATTCGTATGAATACGAGTTGATTAGGAATAATTGATTATTACATTCGTATTTGAATAGGCATAATTCGCATAGTGTTATAGAAGGAACTCGATTAAATGATTTAATTGTAAAAATTTATACTTTATCATTTGATGGGCTTGATTTTTACAACTAAATCTCTTCCAAATGAGTCAAGCCAGTTTGCTCTATCTAAGCTAATTAATTACTTATTTTTTTTCTTTCCAGTTATAACAACAATAGTATTAATTATAAATTGTTTTTGTAAAAAAAGATCATATAAAAATAAAAACCATTGATCCCTTGATCCTTGTTACTTTCATCGATGTACGAAAAATTTTGCAAAGTTTTAAGGTCAAAAAGGTGTTCTCTACAAGAGTTCACAACTCTTTCGGAACCATTTCTCAGCAAATAGGCTAGAAGCACTAAAGCCTAAAAATAGGTGCATTAAATAAAACAAATATTTATTTTTTTTATAAATAATGAACATTTAATTTATATTCAATAAATATGACTTTATGTCACTATGAGAGTTTTTTCCTAAACAACTCAACTTCAGATCACCAGCGAACTGGAAGGGAACATTCTGGAACAGCTCAGTGAAAATGTAACTTAATGAGTAAATTGATGGAACTAGAATCCGGAATATTTTGGGATAGAAAAGGGGGAAACGGCTCAGAATATCTATAAAACTTGAATTTATATTCACTCACGTTATATAATTACATGCCAAGTATTATCATAATATTTAAAAGTTTATCCTATATATCTATTAGCCCACTTGGCCGTAACTGAGCGGCAAATAAAAAATTATCTAAAAAAAATTAGGAGATATTGTTTTAAGACTACACCAATGTAACTGATCTACGTCGATATTGAATTGACCTTTTGAAAAAAAATCGAATTGGTAAATATTAATAAACGAAGGGTAAAATAACGATTATTCATATAATTTAAAAAAAAAATACTTTGGAAATTATATGAAATGTTATGAAATAAATAGAAATATATTGAGGTATATTGAATGCTCACAAAATAACTCTAAATTTGAAAAATGAACCCAATAAAAATATTTCTAGGATTAGTTAAAATCTGATAAAGGAAAGGATATTGATATTTTATATATCTCGCTGATCCTTTTGATTATTGAAGATTAAAACAAGATTTTATTTAGTATCTCGAGCAACCTGCACCCATCAGAATCAATTACTTTGGCACTGCTGGAAACATTGATAACTCGAAGAAGTATAGATAAACTTCAAGCTTTTTTTTTATTTTCAAAATAAAATTTCCAACATTATAAATTTAGTTATTAATTTACCTCTTATTTCTTTACCGTACATATGCAAAATAAAAATATATAAGATAAGGAAGAAATTTAGATAAAAATTATGAATCAATAATAAAAATATGTGGCTTTAGTTATTATAGGCAAATATTAGATTGGTATTGGTCAAAAAAATTAACATGTAGCCCATCACTTTATGGAACACAAAATCGATCCATTTACTTGACTCTCATATTAGGCTAGGTACTTCTTCAAATCAAATAGTGATAATTGGTTTTCCCACATTCAACATGTAAATTAAATAGTAATCTTTTAAAAGATCAATACTTAGATGAAATAAATAAATTTAAATAAAAATTAATTATAAATCTATAAGTATCTATAATCGATTTTTAGGTAAACCCACATGTGCTTGTTTTGGGCAAACACAATCAAATGATATGCTAAGAGAATAAGATTTGTTATGTATTGTATTTGTCATTTATATTAAATGTATTTCCTTGAATTTTTATTATATATGTAATTCCTTACATTTTTAAATAGAAGTATCTTATTTTTTTTATAATTCTTTCAATAGAGAAAAAAATGAACATGGCATTTGTTGTCATGAATTTTAATGCTTCTAATTTATTTTCCCAATTAATTAGTATAAAAAGAAAGGAAAAGATGTTTTCCCTTACTCAAAATCATGATTTATTTGCAGTGATTTTTTTGTTTATGATTCTTTGCTTCTTAAATTTTGGCTTTTGTTTGTTTTTGCCAAATGAAATTTTAATTATACAATATATTTATCAGAAATTTGTTAATATAAATATTTTCCCTAATATACTTTTAAGAAAGTTTTATAAAATAAGGTAAAAAAATATAACAATTCATAAATATATTTAAATTAACCCTTTAAAGCTCAACCTTTTAAAATAAAACTAAAAAAATTTTTTTATAAAAAATCTTCATTTATATACACCAAGGATGTAAAATTTTTATTTCGACTTATATTTCATAGTATACAGGTAAAAAAAAATCATGATACAATTTGGCATCATTGAGCGAAATGCATGTATATAAAAAAATATTTATTTATTATGAAAATTTTTTTTAAATTTATTTCCTAGTTATAGCATAAATTTTTTCACACATAGTCCTTGAATATGCGATAACACATAATTTACATCTTTTTCGAGTCTTAGAAGCTTCTGGCCAATGCCCTAAATTATCATATCTAACGTCAGTAATTATCTGAGGTAACTTATATCCTTTTTGTATTTTAGGATTTTCATTTAATGGTCTCCCTATTTTTATTTTACTAATTTTACCTGCCATTAACAAGGCAGGAACTATATATAGATGTTATAAGTTTTATAAAAGATTTTTCATTTTTTTGAAGTAATGTCTTCGATACAATAGCCATGCATTCACAATGCAGGTATCTATCAAATGAAATATTATTCAAAGTGATATGGTGTTGGAATATTATTTGGGGGATTAGAAAACTTTTTAGAAAATATTGTATCAAATGATTCAATATTTTTTAATACCCAATTACTACTGAGATTAGGAAAACTAGGACCTTCATGAACATTATCAAGTTCTATGTGGAGTGCATTTGTGGGCGAATTTGTATCTATACTGTCAATAGGATGATTAATATCCTCACTATTTTCAATATCTGTTTCTGAAATATCACCTTCAATTATAATTATTAGATCTATAAAAAATAAAATTTACTCAATGTTAATAAAATAACTTATTAAATTCCCAATGAGTTAATTTGGCATCATAATTTTAAAATTATATTTACAAAAATAATTAAAATTCTAAAAAAATATAAATTCATGACATATTTGAATATTTTGTCTTCTTTATAAAATAAACAGTTTTCAAAATTTTTGAATTAAAATATATTTAAACAATATGTAAAATCAAATAATTCAGAAAAAATTGAAACGAGTCAAAATTTACATGATAATAAAATAAATAAAAAGCATATTTTTTTTTATTATGATAAAATATGATTGAATACATTAGTATATTTATTAAAAAATGTTAAATTAAATCATTGAGTTTTTTTAAACATTAAAAAATAACATTCAATATGATGATCTCAAATTAGCTCACAGGACTTTAAAGGGTTAAATCAAGAATTGTAAAATTAAAAGTAAGTTAAGCCTAAAAGTAATTTGAATTTTTACAATTATAAAATACTATAAATCATTGAAAATCTATATTACATTAAGAAAATGATAAAGGATGCCTATTATTTTATTTTCTAGTTACAAAAATAATAAAAAAAATTAAATTTAATATATATTTTTTTTTAGTATCAGTCCTACTTTTAATTTTAGAGTAATAATCCATTAGCAATAACAATCAATGAATGATTGTCATGAATATTGGCCATATATATTATTTAATAAATGTTATTTTCCTTTTATTTAATTAGCATTAGGGATCTCACAGTCTGGCCTAATAAATATCAAGTCAAAATTATACTAAGAGGATGAGCTTACCAGGTGGTCCTATCTTACTTTATTTTTTTTATTGGCTCAATCTTTTAGAAAAATCTTAGCATGCAGTGTTAGGCTAAGCTCCTAATTTTTAATTATCATTTTTATATTTTTTTTAAAATACTGATGTATGTGAAACCTTGTAAATCCTTCTCCAATTGTTTTTATTTTCTTGGAACATACGCCTCCATATAATAGCCATTACCTCTGAATAATGTTGAAATGAATGTGTGTAATGACTTATTTCAATCATAATTTGTCCTGTGGGTCCCCATGTGTCATCATTAGTTGCTTCTCTAACTTTACTTTCTACCTCAGTGTAATTCATAACTGCATTGGTTCTAAATTTTAATAGAGTATTTGATTTAAAAATAAAATTATTTTAATAAATTTGTATATTAATAATGGTTATTTAAAAGATTATCATATAAAAAATAAGTGTTTATAAATAAGGATATTCCAAGGTGTTAATTACATTTTATTAAATATTCCATTTCAATCTTAAGTTAAAAATTGTTTATCTGATTTTCATAATTTGATTATGAAAGGATTATCTTTAAAATCAAAACTACAAAAATACAAATATAAATTTCAGGCTTACACTTTATCCGTAAGCTCACGAATTTTCCACATGCTGATCATTCCGAATATATATCCTTATAATTCAGTATTTATTGTATGTGATTTTGTTTGAAAATAAGTTTGGTATTTAAAGGATAAGTTAATTTAATAAGAAATGATAAATTTTTTAAACGTTTAAAAAATTCAGCTGACCGATTAAACTATTTACAAAGGTAAAATATCACGTGAATTTAATATTTTCACATAAAAAGTTCATAATTGCTTTATCACACCCGGCTGGATAAACCTATACTACACTAATAATATAATTTCAAATTTAATTTTACAAGGGAAATCCGAATATATATCCACATTATTAAATAAACTCAGTAGGGTCAATTTTTATGCTTAACGGACTCTAATATTTGAGGGAAATAGGAGTTCTCTTTAGTCTCAGCATGTCCAGAATTCATACAAGAAAAATGTAGGTATGAAGGGTATGAATGAAGTAAGAAAAAAAACAAAATAAATAAGGATAAAGATAAAGAATTGTTTATTTTTTATTAAATTTTAATAAATTATTAAAAGGTATTTTTATAGATCACATCACTTTTCTGTTTTTCACTAGGAAGTTAAATATTATTTTGTATATTTCGCATATTATATTAATTATCATTATTTCATAACGAAAGTCAAATATCTAAATAAAATTTATTGAACTATTTATATATTCATATAAATTATGAAATCAATTTTCTCAAAAAATAAAAATAAACGTCTTGTATATTTTGGTCTAAAATATTATGAGCAATATTTGAGGACTTTTATATTGATATTTACATTTTTTAAGGACTTTTATAATAATATTTATTGAAAATAATTAAGACTGAATATCATCCGATATTACTACAAAACTGATCCGATATTGAATACCAATTCGATATTTATATTGATTTATATTTATTTTATCATTGAATCATTGTTATAATAAAATCATTTCTTCAATCCATTTAACTTTAGCTAATGATTAAATATATTTGGTTAGTTTATTCTAAAATATGGGCATGTTCTCGTCTGAATGTATTTTTGTTAAACTGCCTTATTTAGCCAATTTTTAAAAACTGTCAAAATTATAGCCGATAAAAATGGAAATATGTTTACTTTATTAAAGTCAAAAAAAAATGATTTTGTAAACATATTTATTTTCTTACAAAAGTTTTTTGTAATATTCAGATTTTATAAATTAGGAGAAATGATTGGGGGGGGGGGGAAGGTAAACAGAAAGAAAAATGAAAATGAAAATGGAAAGAATGAAAAGGGATAGAAAGAAAAAGAACTCAAGTAAAAAGAAAAGGGGTGGGGGGAAAGGGGATTTGGAAAGAGAAGGGAAAAGCAACTGGAATAGAAAAGAGGCAAGGAAAAGCTATTTCCTTACAAAATATCCCATAAAATTTTAACATCACTACCCCTATAAATATTAAAAATCTGTTTATAATTAAGAAATAGATGTGCTAGGGGAATAATTATTGAGTTTGAAATATCTTGTAGTATTATTCCTCTTGTCAAAATATTAAAAAAATGTGTGTATTATACAATGACATTATATGATATATTTATAGATTTTTCAAAATATATAACAAATCATTCATAATTTTTATTTATATTAGTTGTAAAAAAATCTTTCTTAACTCAACAAACTTATTATATATATCATTTTGAGTTTAGTCAAGGCGATTCACAATTAACTTGCAATTCGTATTTTAGTCACCCTCAAAGAATTATAAATAATATATCAATAATAAATACTTTTTAGGTCCATATGATTGTAAAAAAAGTGTACTTACTAAGCGAGGATATGACGTAGTTAGGACATGGCGTAGTGAAGACATAATGTAGTGAAGACATCGGAAAATTAAAATATAGATACATATATATATATATATATAATTATATATATATATAATGTCATTTAATCAATGTGAAGGTAAATTTGTAGATTATATATAGTTTTATTTAACAACTTATGGCAATATTTGAAGTTATATATGTCAAACATCAGGATGAGATAAATCATTATGTAAATATATACAAAAAGTAAAATATTACAAAATATAAAAAGTAAGGTTACGCCATATAAAAAATAAAGTTATAAAATTAGATTATAAAAAATAATAAAAAGATTAAAAAATTAGAATAACGCAACACAAGACTAAAAAACAGATAAGATTTATATTTCTTTATAATAATAATTTATTAAATTACTATTACAATATCGGAAAGGGTAACTTCCATTTATTTAGTTAAACTACAACTGGTTACAAGGTTTGTTGGTATCCTTGAGAAAAAAAATCGCCCTAATTTTATGAAGGGTAGGTGGGCCCACAAAATCACGTTCGCTCATTTTGGGCAGGTCTTATGACCAACGTGCTAGATAAGATAAAAAGATAAAATAATTTTTTCATATAGGGATCTACTTGAAAAAATGGGATTTGACGTGAAAAGGTTCAAATTAATGTTAATTTATTAATTATAAATTAAATAGGTTTGATATATATCGAAAAATACCCAAAGATTTAACCCAAGCCACTTATACTGGAGCAGTTATTTCAATATGTTGTACCATATTTATAACTTATTTAATTCTATCAGAACTTATATCTTTTTTAACTGATGAAATGTAAGTTTATATTAAACTTTTATATTTTAATAAAAAACATTAGTGTTAGTGAAATATATGTTGACAATCCAATAGACGATGAAAAAATTAAAGTTCAGTTGAATATGACATTGCCAAATATGCAATGTGAATGTAAAAAATATTTTATATAATTTAGATAATTTCCATTAAATTATATATTACCATAAATCTAGACTTGATTATTTACATTTATTTTATAATTAGATGTTGGTTTAGATATCATGGACAACAAAGGTAGACATGAGGTTGGCTATATACAAAACACAAAAAAATATCCAGTTAAAAGAGAAAATGAAGATGGATGTCGATTAGAATTAACATTTTCTATTAATAAAGTAATTTGAGATGTAAATTACATATTAATATTAAAAATCATATTTTCATTCTATCAAAATTTAAACATTATTTGTTTATTTTTATCTAAACTTATATTTATAACTATTATATAAACTTTTTTAATATATATGTATATAAATTACTGGACACCTTTGTTTTCCCTTAACCTTTACCATAACCTAAAAGGTATTTATAATTGATAAAAATCTGAGAAACTCATTTATTTCCACAAGGATTTTTAATTTTAAAATGGGTTAAATACAATGCCATATTAAAATTTTTTTTTTAAATACACTTTATTTTGATATTAGAATCTATAGGTTAACAAAGCAAATTAAGTTTAATTTTGATTAACAATTATTTTTATATATGTAATTTCAGATATAACTTTAAATGGATGAATATTTAAATTTTAAAGGTCCCTGGAAATTTTCACATATCCACTCATGCCAGCCAAGCACCTGTGGAAAATGTCAACATGCAACACATTATTCATATGCTCACTTTTGGTGATGACTTTCCAGTATGTGAAATAAAAAAATTATTATATAATTTACCTTACTATAGCGATTTTTTACTGCATACAATATGATCATTTATTTAGCAACCTTTAAAATTATTGTAGTTAACATATTTGTTACTGCAAAACGTATGCCATAAATGCTTACTTGCATTGAAGCATTGTTTTTAAAATTTTTATACTTTGGAACAAAAAAAATAAACAAACAGTATAAAATATGCAGAATAAATATTTACAATTATGGGAATATGACTTAAACTTGGGGTTTACTCTCATATAGTTGGCTAATTACTATAATTTTAGCCGTTTAAGCCAATTTTTAGCCGCCGCTTTAATGTTAACGGATTTTCTTTGGCAAGCGCCTGAAAATATAGCCGAATTAGCCGAGATTTATTACCCAACTATAGAATGAGGCGATATATAATATATTTCGTATACTGGAGTAGAGAATGGGAACTGTCCACCCAGGTCAAGTTATTTTTCTTTTTATGTTGGACACATCTTGGACCGTTTTTGGTATTAATTTCTTGGGATGAACCTGACACATCCGAAACGCAAATTTTATGACGAACGTCTCTTAACGTAAATTTTTTTCCCTTCAAATAATAAATTTTTGAATAAATATAACATTTTATTTTAACTGAAAAAGATAAAAATGAATATAATTATGTATAATTCACCTATTTATTTATATAATCTCAAAATCGTCTTTCCACCTTTTTTAGCCTTAGAATGAATGCCCTTTTCGGACCCAATATGAAGGAGGGGCTGTTTAGGATCTATTTTCGAGAACGGTCCGTGACCGAATCAGATGGGACCAACTTTTCTTATTCTTTAACTAAAATCTTAAAATTTGTAAATCATACTCTCCTAAGAATTCTTTAAAATTTTATATCATTTATAGCGCATATTTTTTAATTTTTAAAGAACTTGATTTTTCCGGAATGGTATTCATACCCTATAAATTTCAGATTATTTTTTAAATAAAATTTTCAATCAGTTATGCGATTATTCATCAATTTTTTTAAAATTATTATAGTTCAACCCAAAGAAATTGCCGTTAAAACATATTAAAAATTTTATTCGTTTATTTATAATAATCAGGTTAGACAAGTTAAAAGGATTAAATTTTATTAAAGCCCAATCTAAACCCCTAACCCATATCCTCGACCCTTTAAATAACCTTAACTCATATCTAACCTATAATCCTACTTATCAGATGCCTGTTTAATATTAAATTCCAATTAAGAAATTCCCTTCAACAACATTCCATGAATAGAGCGATCAATTAAAATTAACCTTAAATAATTGTCCGAATTCATAAGGTAATGCTGGAATGCAATTCTGGTAAAAAAAAGGGTTTATTTTTTTTTAATGAAATGCGCTCTTTAAATAAATTAAAATGCTAAAGATTGCAGTATATCCAAAAAAACTTAATTTAACTTTTCTCGAGGAAACTTAAAACGGAAGTGTCTCAATATTATAAAAATTTCATACCACCAGGGATTTTAAACCAGTAAAAAATTAAATCAAGGTTTTTTTTACTATGATTACATATACACCTGACAAGTTATAATAAGTTCATGGGATGACCATTTTATTTTTCTTCCCAAAGTATTTCCCTAACATTTTAGTAATTCTCTAATCACTTATATTACTTATGTTTTTTATTGCATTTAATTATTATAATATAAACGAAAAAGATATATTTATTTTTTATTATGGAAGACAAAAAATAAAATATTGATAATATTACTAAGAAAAAATGAATGAAAAATATCCCAATTTTTACAAAATTAACAGACAGGCATATATTTAAAATAAAATTTTTTTTTAATATGAGCACACAAGAATCAGAATTTTTGCTCAAATCAGATATTTGCAATTTTTTTTTATTATAAATTTATTTAAATTCAACTTTTGTCACTTTTACAAATCAAATTATAAATCTTTCTGGACATTGTCATAAAATTGTAGGGGGATTTGATTTTTTTTTCTAATTTTAATTTGATAGGAAAGATATAGGTGGTAAAATTTAGAGGAGAATAGAGGATTTTTTTTGGGGGGGGGGGCTATTGTCTTTGGATTAACGTTGAGGGCATAGGAGTAAATAATGGATATAATAGCTATTTAGGAAATTCACCATCCAAAAAATAGCATGCCTACTTTTAATAAAAAACGCCCCAATTATTATAAAATTAACAGGTAGGCATAAATTTACAAATTTTATTATTTTATTTACATATATTATTACATTTAAAACTTTTTTAATTTGAGCACGCAAGAATCATTTCGCTCAAATCAGATATTTCATTTGTAATTTTTTTTTATAAATTTCGTTTAATTTAACTTTTGTCAATTTACATTTTGATTTGAAAGGAAAGAGATAGGGAGTAAGATTTAGAGGGAATAGAGGATTTCAAGGGAGGGATTGTATTTGGGGGACAAATTGAAGGCTTTATTGACGATGATGGCATAGGATGAAATGGATATAACAGATATTCAGAAAACTCACTATCCGGGAAATAAGGCTACTTTTAATAAATTTGTTATATATACATTTCGAACATCTGACCTGGTATAGTTTTCTTAATTAGCAAGAAATTACATGAATATATCCAAAAATTTAGGTCCATTTCAGAACGATGAGTTGCACTTAATAAATAAAGATTTGTAGCCTACAATGTTACTAAATATATATATTCTATCTTTCTTAGACAATTTAGTAAGTAATGTTTAATTAAATATCGAGCTAAAGATGTAATTTAAAAATATTAAGATATTTAAACGCCTGAATTGTTAAAGACGATGTATGTATAAGAGAAAATGGTATCTAGGTAAAGCCAAATAGGGAGGATGGTTAAAAAATTTTAAAACTATCGGAATAAAAATCTTATGGTATAATTTTTTTCTCTCAGTGAGAAACTAGCACTTATTCACATTCTACAGATCGAATTATAAGGTTTAAATTTTTTTATCTCAAATATCCATGGGGATTTAACTATGTAAAAGCTTAGACAAACAAGTATATCGAATAAAAAATGATTGAAATGCATCACTGTGAAAAATATATGGTAAATTTAAATAGGATTAACAGTCATCCCTATCAGCTAAAAATCAAAACCAAATATTCAATAAAAAGAAGGGAGGACCTATTTGCAAGTTTATCTCTCGAAATCAGTGGAAGATTGCTGGATGAGTTTAGGTCACTTTGAGGCATGCAAGGGTCTGACTGATAATATTGAAATTTCAAAAAATGAATGAATAGCTCTATAGACGGTAGGGAAGATTGCAGAACTAAAACAAAGGAAAGGGTTAACGAAGAACTTTTGAAAATTATTCTAAAGTTGTTAAGGAGTGATAGAAAAGTATCTATAGCAAGGAAAATGTTGTTAGTCATTATTTGTTGTGAATAGAAATGAGTACACATGTAAAAGCCGCATTTAGATGCTTTCCTGCTTTGCTTCGATTGAGAATTTCGAAATGAATTAGCTTTGACTCGCCTGATCTTCCAGAATCAATATAAAAATGATCCAGCCTTAATTTTTGGTTTTTCAACACAATCGAAGGTATTTTTTTCTAAAGTTAATAGTTTTACAAAAACATAAACCAAGAGTATTGGTGACAAGTGGGACAAAGATTACATTAGCGATGTCTGAACAAAAAAAAAATTTAAGTTTTGGGTAAAACATGATCAAAATCTTCTTTCTAATAAAATCTTGAAGATAATTTCAACCTGTATTTTTATTAACCTTTTTTGACCAATCATATTGATTAACATGCTAATTGCCCCCCCCCCCCGCCATATCCCCCCACCCTGCCCAATTAATATAATAAATGAAGCTTGCCAAAATTTGAATAGACAAAGTAAAGTGTTTATTATTGAATATATATAACTTTTTATTATAAAGTTAAAGGGCACACACACCCATTCCAAAGCATTAGTTAACGTCGTGAAAACCGATGGAGGTAAATTATTAATCTTTTTTTTTGATATATAAATTATTTTTTTATATATTTTTTTCTTTTTTCATTAAGACGACGAATTTCTAAGTAAATTAAAATTATCAATAATTAGTTTTCGAATACATTTATATATATTTCTTTTATTGATTATAATAATATTTTGTCTGCCAAATAAGATTGATTGGTTTTATTTTTATCATATAGTCAGTCACCTGGTCCACACACCTTTTCCCCCTAAAGTTTTCCCTAAAATTTATCGAATTCTTTAGAAAGAAAGAAAGGAATTGTAATTTATTGAAAATTTTTTTTTATATGAATGAAATTAGATTTTGAATCGCACGATTATATTCTGAAATTGGTGCCCACTATTTACCAAACGAAATCCGGACAAACTTACAATTCTTATCATTATACGCAAGCCTACAAAGTTATATTTCGCATTTATTTTTATATTTTTTTATTGAGGATGTGGATTTTCAAAAAATAACCTCGGTCAATTCCTTTAATAAAAATCACAAAACTGGACGATTTCCTGTTTATCCCAAAATGAAACATATTTTTTGAATGACTGGTTAACATTTTAACGTCTAGAACTTTCCCTGTTTTTGTTTTTATGGGAAGTCAGTTAGCACTTAGCAGGGAATTTTTGTTATTGATTATATGCACAAACGCAAATATATTTTTTTTTCTTCTTTAAAATACGAATTTTAAATTATTATGGATCGAATCGTAAAATCATATTCTAATAAACATTCTTAAAGGATCTAGGATTAATTCCTATTCCTACCAATAATTGCCAAATATTTTGCGGTAAATTCAAAACAAAAGTATATCACATGGCAGTTAGTAATATTAGAAACTATTTTTTACCTTTATTCACAAAATAAATTTAGAAAGTTCAAATTATATAAATCTAAAATATTAGATATTTGTATTAACTAATTTTTGAATAATGTTATTGTGAAACACGTATATCATTACTATCAGATTGATATATCACCAATTTATATTGACCCTCAGCATATTGATTTTAAAAGCCAATATCAATATCTGATTTTTTATTTGGGTACTGTAAACGAAAAATATGTTGGTATTGCTGCTAGCCATGCTGACGTTCAAATCCAGACATGTTATTTCAGGTTTATTTTTTTAAGAGGCTAAAGGAATGCCCAGTAGAGTTAATATATATTTTTAAGAAAAGAAAAAAATATATATTCATCATTACAAATACATTGGGGGTTATTTTTAAATTTTAACCAATAAAAAAATTCTCTGCAAGCTTCTACCGTTTTGTGAATTGCTAGACACGAATAAGATTTAAAAAAAATTGTTGTTTATACAAAACGATATTGAAAAAAAATCTATACTTAATATTATAGCCACTGAACTTAAGACTTAATTTTTTTAGGAGTGTCTAAAATAATTTTAGAAACTCAGGCCAGCTCGGCAAAGAAATTATGACCCATGAGCCGTCTCATAAATGGGTACCACTTGTTCTTTCTTGAAATAATAGTTTTAGGGTTCTTTGTCCTCTCCATTTTCCACGACACAAACAATAAGTTTTTTTCCGGCTATTAAATATATTTTAAAAAATTTCAAAATTTTATAAAGTTATGAAACATGACCAAAATCTTTTTTGAATTGTATAATTCCTATCAAATTATTTTTATACTTCCCATTTTGAATAATGTATTTGCTCATTTCTTATTACAATTTGAAAAATATAAAATAATTATTGCTCACTTTTTTTCGTAAAATTTTTATAACTTTATAAAATTTAGTCTGAAATTTTTTAAATTTTTATAATTTTTCTTATAAAAAATTAATAGATTTTCGTAAATTCTAAAATAGATTTAGGCCACTGTTTTATTTTTACATTAAAAATAGCTTATTTTTCTTTTTTCGTTAAAGTTACAAAACTGTTTATTATATTTTTGTATAAACTATAAAATAGAACGAAGAATAAAAAAATTATTTATGATAATATTTTGACAATTAATTTAATAAATTGAATTTATTAAAAAATTTGCTAGAAATTTATATCTATAGGTCCCACGGGACCTAGTACCCCGGCCATATGGTTTAATTACGATCTCAATCCGTTCACCGTCAAATATATCGAAAAAGCAAAACCTTTGTATCATTTCATCACCACCGTAAGATTATTATTAATTTTATGTATGAAAATTTGTGAATTGGGATGAAATAAATGGAATAAAATTAATGAATGGATGGTAATGTAAATCCTAAGAATATGAAATTCCTATAATGGAGAGGAATAGTGGAAAATCATCTGATATAATATGATACATAGGAATGCAATCTTAAATAATTAAGCATATTTAAAGGAAATTAATAAATTTGAAGGGGATATCATATTTTATTAAGGTAAATTATGCTTGCATTTATGTATGTCTGAAAAAAAAGCAAACGAGATACATATATATTATTTAAAATCGAAAAATTGATATTATTTTTTATTGTTGTATAATTTACCCTCGGAAAAGTTTAATAAACTTGTATATTATTTAGAATCCTCATTAAATCGGTGTTTAACGATGTGATTTTTAAATATCATAATCGATATATGTTATCAACAATGTGTTAGTTTTCAACTTTAAATCTTTTTAAGCACGTTTTTTAAATTTAAAATCCTATTAATTGTATGCAATTTTGCCGTTAATTTTTGAGTCATTTATAATTTATATAAGAAATCTATGGGAAAACCAATATAAATTATAATAAGTTTAAAGTCTGAAATTCATAGAATAAGTTTTCCAAATATGATGGAATTAAGATTTTTAAATTAAAAAAAAACCAGCTCAAAAAATGTTTTAAAGTTGAAAAAAGAATACATTGCCGGAAAAAAACAAATAAAATACAACGCTATTTATATTTACATGATTAATCCTCAAATTGAATGTGACATTTTTTTAAAAAAATCTTTAAATTATTAAGTATGTGAACGACACGAACAATAAAAAATAAAATCATTTTTTATCGGACCTATTTACTTCAGTCCGATCCGACCTGTCCGAATTGAAACTTTAAAATGAAGGTCCGATTCGACCGAGTCTGAGCAAACCGACCCGGGTTCTGTTGTATCAAACTCAGATTTTTTCAAATATCAGATTAAGATCTTACTTTTTTGTTCTTTTATGTTTTTTTAAAGGTTTGCGCGATCGTGGGAGGCGTATTTACCGTGGCGGGTCTCATCGATTCATTCATTTTTTCTACTTCCGAAATTTTCAGGAAAATGGAACTCGATAAATTAACTTGATATTTTTTGAATATAAATAATCTCCATTATATAATTTTTTTTCATTCTTAGATTTAGAGAAATAAAACGTGCTCAATTTTTTAAACGTGATTGTAATTTAAATAATTCGATAAAAATCAATTAAAAAATGTAAATTTTTTTTAATGTACAGTGTATATATATTCGTCTGCTATTAGAGTGTTTTCTATATCCACATTTTTGCAAAATACATCTTTTTTTTCCGATAAATCAATTCTTTAGTTAATGTATTCTTTCCATATCAACCAAAAAAAACATTTTTTAAAAAAAAATTAACTTGAATATTTATTCGACGATATGAAGCCCGCTTATAACAGTTACTTTTATATTTTCCACCACACGATTTTTATTTTGATTATTGGGGTTACAAATTATATAGTTTACCCATATTTCCCACTTTAAAAATTTTGGTCCCCCGGTAAAAAGTAAGTGCATTTGTTGATAATGATTCGTATGAATTAATTTGCTATGTTATAGAATATTTTATTTTTTCCTTTGTTTCAACTTTTTTATAATATTCTCGCGGGGTAATTTCACTTATTATATAAAGGTTAAATAATATATTTTTTTTTTATAATTATGATTGTTAGCAAATCGATCAATTGTTGTATCAAATTTATTATGTGATTTTTTTTATAAAAAAGTAGTTTATTATTTTGTAAATGGATCAAAATATATTTAATAAAAGGACTTATTATTTATTTTTTTAAATATTATATATGATCGCAATCGCCATCATTAAATTTGCACGTTGACATTTATGACAATTTATTTATAATTTAACATATTAGCTTATAATTAAAATTTAGAATATCCGGTTAACAAGGAAAATAGGGTTTTTGAAAGCTTTTGGAAGGCAAACGTTTCAAATTTATTACGAAGCTTGGTGCAGTGTTGCAAAAGTATCCTTTATCTGAAAAGTATTTATTAGATTTTTTTCTAAAGTCAAACAAGAGGTACAATTAATATACAAATTTTAAAAAAGGATTTAATAAAATTTAGTCAATTTAATAAATTGCAATAAGTTGGTATCACATGATCTATCTGGCAGATTAAATGATATCTGATAGATGAGGCTAATCATAAGATTTTTTTATTAACGTTCTCCTACATTGATATGCATGGAAACTTATATAGTATTTCTATATTTACCCATTATGTTTTTTTGTACCATCTACCATAAACTTTTTTTTAAAAAGATATAACCAAAACATTTAAATAATATACTACAATATTTTTTTTAACTAGGATACTTATGCAACATTAAACTGGCCCAAGGTCTAGCCCGATCTAATGAAATTTTTTATCAAAACCCTCAACTGGGTCCGAAGAAATTATCTATCCGACCAATACGAGTTCGTCTAGATTGGGCAGGTTCATAAAGAGCTATACTTGCAAGCAATAAGCGGTGATTTTGATTATTTCTTTTTTACGTGATATGCTAAATGTATATATGGAAGTAGTAGCATATTGGTTATATTACACAGGGTTTTTATTTGTTTTGATCATAAATTTTATTTTATTTGATATGATGATAAAAAAATGATTAGTGTTTTCCATTTATGGTTAAAATTGGATATATGCAACAGCTACTATTTATTGATTTTTTATATTTATATTTTTGAGTTGAAATAATTTAAAATATGCTTTTTATAACTTCGAAAAAATGGAAAATCTTTATATTTCAGTGTGCATTGAGTTTTGTCATAGACGTTTAAAACATAACCGACTCCATAGCCCTGCAAGTCGGCCCAAAACAAAACGGGCTGGATTCTGGCTTGAAAAAATTAATATAAAACATGATGTTTTAGAATTTCTCGGTGATTAAGATAAAGCAATTAGTGTTAACTTCATAAAAAGCTTTCAAAAATATATAAAGATTGGGCGATGGGCTCGGACTTACATTAACGATTTCGAACCAGGCTAAAAAATATTGAATTTGTAGGGTTCTACTATACTACTTCCAGAGCATTTAAAAAAAAATACTTGTTTGTTTAATGACTGTTTACCCGGATAAATCAGTTTCCTCTCTGACCCCCTTTTTCCATTTTTACGGTCCTGGGCATCGTAAATAAAATTTAGTTTACTCATGTCACCCATTACACTTTCAACCACGTCGTTTTGTAGTCTTCCTTGAGGTTTTGATCCCCTTACTTCCATCAAAATATATCTTTATACCTAACCTTTCATCTTTCTTCAACATTTCCAAATCACCTTAGTCTATTTTCTCTTATCACTTGTATTACAATTCTTTCTTGCAATTCCTTGCTTGTTTTTTTTCTCAGGTATCCCCACATATCCATTTAACCATGTTCATCTCTGTTCTTTCCAATTTCGTTTAGTGGGCTACTATCATTGCATAAGCTTAACGACTGTAGACCTTACAGCTTATTTTTTTCTTATAGATACCTTATTCTGATTGGAAAGTACTAATTTTTTAAAGAAAAATTGGCATATTATTTTATTATAATTTTTTTTGTAATATTTATAAGTACTTCTACCATAGGTGGAAGGGGGTGATGCGAGATGTAATTGAAATAGGTAGGTAGCTATGTAGACAGACATTTGAATAAAATAGGGGATTTTATGGTTATTGCTTTTTTCGAGTATTAATTTATTTATTTTTTCCAAGTATTTTTTATGTTCATCTATTTTAACACTAATAAGAGATTGATATTTTTTTATGGGTTTTTTACACATAATATATTTTATTTTTAATTGATATATTATTTATGCAAAATGCATAGAGCTAGAAGCTTCATTAAAATATAGGCCAGAGTGGCATAATGTTAAATATTGTGTAAGAAAAACAGAAATGACCATAAAATCAAATTAGCATTTCTTTCTCTCTATTTTAATTATTTTCTAATTGGTCCGAGTACAAGTATGAAGGTTAAGGGATTTTAATATGAGTCATTGTAATTTTATTTAATATTTAAAAGTTGTTTAATATTTAAAGAAAGATTATTTAAGATTAGAAAAATTTTGGATGGAAAGGAGGGTGTTGGTTAATACATTTGATGAATTGAAGGTTTTCTCCTATTAAAAATAACTACAAAATCCAGGTCATGGAATCTAAATGAAATAGAAGATAATGAAACTAAGTGGGGCATAATCACATACGATTCAAAGTTTTTTTAGTTTATATCTAGGAGATTATAGGTATTCATTGTTTGAAGAGGAATTAGATATTGAAAACTGCATGTGAGAATGTATATATGGGAAGATCTAATTATATGGCTTGATAAAGTAAATTTCCTATATAAAACTAAATTAAGGAAAGACAAATATCACTTATAAATTGGAATATATTAAAACAGTATAAAAATTTATATAACTCAAGAATTCTAAAAAAATCTTCAGATAATATATCGTTGATATCTAGACTGAGTATATAGGATCAAGATACAAAAACATTAAAGGGTGAATGTAAATGCTATAAGTTGATGGGATAAATATATTGGTGGAATCAGAATTTTCTCCATTATTTGATGACATGTAAAAATTATTTTTTCATATTAATGGCATTAACTTACTATTATCATTAAAAATAATGGAAAATTAAGAAATTATATTGCATCATATATAGATACATTTCTTATTCATCAGATTTCTGATTCATCTATCAAAGAGAAATATCCGAATCTTCCATCATTCTTGGCTGATTTGCAGGAGAAGTATCCAATCAGATTTTTGACGGGCTAGCTGCTAGAGAAAATAACAGCCAATAGAAAAATAAAATAAGATACCAGTATAATTTGTTTTATAAACTCAGTTTTATATTTGATTTTTTTAATTTTTTTTGCATAAGTATATTAAACAATAACAAAATATATATGAATATCATAATAAAATATAAAGTAACGAAGAAAAGAACCTGTTACTTTTTCCGAATCAGTTTAATTTTTTTGGATAAAAGTAACACTGCAAGTTTTTTAAAACACATTACTTTTGTAACACGCTACTAAACAGCATCAAATTTTTGAATATTGGGATATTATGGATAAACGACTCTTATCCATGTTTTTCTGGGAATACCTTAGTGCTAAAACAGAATGTGTGATTTAGATGATGATAAAATTAATCTCCTTTTTTGAAAAAAATGCAAAACAAATAAATGGACTCAATAATACTATAATCTAAAAGTAAAACAAATCGATTTTAAATTTCATAAACTAATCTATACACCACTAATTAAAAATCAAATTTATTACCTATAAAAAATCAAAATGAAGATTATTTTATACTACTTTATTTAATAATATTATCACGAAGATTTACTATAAATTTAGCTTTACATTTTAATTTTATAATGACCCATTTTTAAAATATTTGAAGGTTTCAAATCTCTAAATATTTTAGAATAAAATAGAACAAGATAATTATATATATATCTATTAATAGAATTTGCCTTGAAAAAGTATCTTATTACAAGTTTTATATTAATTATAATAGGTAAAAGATAATTTGTGTTGTTTTTAATTTTATTAATTCATAGTTATATTGTATAAATTTAATATATACCGGACGTACAAAAATTATTTATAACAACTGAAGGATTTGAAATTCTAATCAACACACCTACAATTATTATTAAAATAGCAATGACATTTTCCGCTACAACAATGACCATCTCTCATGCATATAGAATTAATAGGTCTACAAGGAAATCTAATTTTAAAATTTAAAAAAAAAACTGTTAATAAAATGACTAATTATACTTTTTACATATTCAATTATCTAATAATCCTTTAGTATTTTGCACCATCATTTTAGAAATTGTTATATTATATATAAAAACATTTAAAAAAAACAAATAGAAATAAAAATAAAGTTTAATAATTCGTTACTAAAAATAACCTTTCAGTTCTAGGGAATTGACGAATTGGACTTGTTGGGTCTGTTAACGCAAATGCATCAATATTTTCTAAAATTGTAAATCAAGATTATAGTAATAGTTAGTCTTATGCCATGTACAATCTAATATAATTTATTTGAGCTTACTTGAAAGGAGAACTAAGTACATACTAAATATTATAAATAAAGAAGACATTTTTTTTTCATTAAAATTTTTATTCGATTTCTATTTTTCTATTCTTATTTCGATAATATCTTAATTATAATAAAAATAATATTTAGAAATTAGACAGTATAAGAATATTCTTATATAATAAAAAATATGTTAAATTAAAACAAACGTATTTTGTGAAAAGAGCATCAATGCTATTCCGTTAGCGATTATATAGAAAAATTATAAAAAATGCAAAAATGACCTGAAATCTAATTAAAAAAATTACGATTATTTTTTTTCTATCATATTTGATCTAGATATTAAAAATAGTCTAATTTTCTTTTTATGCCCAATAGATTATATTAAAAAATTAATTTTCATTGTATTATATTTTTTAAAAACTTACAAAATCAATTTTGTTTTTTTAGACCTAGGCCTGGCCCTGGGACCCGAAAATTTCTAATGAACAAACCTCTATTTCAAAATATTTATTTTATACTCAATTTTATGCATTAAATTTGATATCAATTTTATTTTAATTACAAAAGATGATATAAAAAATTAATCAAACATTTCCCACCAAATTTTTTAAAAAAAACTTTTATTATTTTATTTAAAACTCATTTTATAATTGTGATATTAAATCAGGCAAAAAAGGAAGAATATGAAAGGAAGTATAACATTAATATCTTTTTCCGGCAACGGACCAGGCCTTGATTTTATTGATATTACCATTCCCCTGCAGAACTCTAATATTTATATCCAATTTTATATATAAAATAAAATTCACGAAAATTCCTTGGTTAAAAAGTCTTCACTTTTCAGATTTTGTTGACATTCATTCAAGTTAGAACTTTCAATTAGTGTTGTAAAACGGCTAGTTTTTAGCCGATTTTTAAAAACGGCTAACTTAGTATTTCATCCAGGATAGTATTACGCAAGCCTGAAGATTTTGTTTGTAGAAGGAACAAAGGTTTGGACACCTATTAGCGAAATCTCGAGGCTTAGGCAATGTTTTTCTGGCTAAAATATTGAGTTAGCCGTTTTTAAAAATCGGCACAAAAAGAGCCGTTTAACAACATTACTTCCAATGCTCAACAGAGACCTCCAGAAGTGCAATTTGCATGGACCGGTATTTTTAAAAAAAATTTTGTTCAGGGTTTATAAATTTTTTTCTACTACCATGGTTTTTAAAAATTTTATATATTTATACCTATTCGGCATTTCACGGATCGTTCTTCAGCGAATATGAAATCCGTATATAACTTTTCAAATTATCTAATCTCCCGATTTGCCGTAAATGGAGTGAGTTTGAATTACAACACTTTCTATTAGATTGATCGATGGTAATTCCCTTATTTTCTGTTCCTCATGTAATTTAGTCATTTATTAAAGTATCAGTCATTTTGCGCTTTCTCCCTTGCAACATGCGTAATCGCCTGAAATTAGGAAAGGGAAAAAGAAAGATAAAATAATTTATATTCTGAAGTTGCGAGACTTCCGTCGGTGGAAGTTCATCAGTTCGGGGTCAAGTAGCTGGATAGTTGTCAGTCCTTTTGAGCTTGTGTGTTCCAGAATAAGATAACTTAAAAACAATTACTGAAAATATTCAATAAGTAAAAAGCAAATAATTTAGTCTCAAAAAAGACATTTTTTTAAAAAAACAATTCTAAAAATTTTTAAACTAAAAATATGTGATGATGGTAAACCCAAAATTAAATCTTTTGTAGGGAAAGTAAAAAGCACAAAAAACAACACTAGTCGATAAATTTTTACCAAAAATATGGAAATAGAAAATATGATAAGTGAATGAATGTGATATATTGTTTCATGATACACAATTTTTAAATATATTTTATTTATTTTTAATTTTTATAAATAATAATGGCCATTTAAAATATTCGGCCCGACCAGAATATATTTAAAAAAATAAAAATACGGTCAGGTCCATGTAACCAGGCCGGGCTTAGGGACGGGCCTGCATGTCTCTCTCGACTACAAAATCATTATGATTTCATTTGCAATATAAAGATAACAAATAAGAAACAATATATTCAGGTCTTAGTCGAGAATTTCGAGTTGGGGGTGGGGGGGGGGAGGAATTGTTTATTTGGGAGGGTCAATATTTTTTAAATAAAACAAATAAGTTATGCAATCAGATATTTTTTTTGAAAATTTGTAAGAATAAAATATACAAAATAATAACAGATTAATGGATAAAATTTGAGTTATTTTTTTTTCATATACCAGTAAAATAAATTTTGTTTTCGTGGATCTTTCATTTACTCTCTAAACAATTGAAAGTAGAGAGCTGCAAAGTTAGACCCGGCCCGAGTCCGGCCAGGCCCTAATATTTTTAAAAAAATTTCGGGCCGGACCTTAGAAATTTTATTAAATATATCTAAATTTATCAATTTTATATTGAATTTTTTTATGTAAAATAAAAATTTTTGATTTAATTTATTGAAACTAAACGCTATATAACATATGTCTTTTATTTTAAGTAATAGTAAAAATTAATTTCTATTTTAAATAAATTCGGGCCTGGCCGGGGCGGTAAATTTTTTAAAAATAAATTTAGGGCCGGGCCGGCAAAACTTTTTAAAAAAAATTCGGGTTCGTGCCGGCAAAACTTTTTCAAAAAAAATTTCGGGCCGGGCTTGAAAAATTAAACCCGATGCAGATCACTAATTGAAAGTGCAAAGTCAAAAATGAAAATATTGAATACGTTATGTTATACCCAAATATTATGGGAAAAAATAAGTAATTTGAGTGTAAAATGTCTGCCTGAACATCTCCTTGTTCCTGAGGTTAAATCAGTTATATTCCAAAAGGAAAATTGGTAATTTTAAAGTTATTCGCCCTCTTTAATTTATTTATATTATTTTAACATTTGATATCGTATTGATCTATAATTAACGTTTGAGTATGATCGTGTGATAGGCAGCAAGTAATTCATCATTTTTAATATCTTATACTTCACTAAGAAAGAGTTATTTAAAAAAGTATTCGCCCTCTTCATGTGAGAATATTCGTACTCTTTCAATTTTTTAAAAATATTGCGTAATTTTAATAGTTGACATGTTTTGGTCTAATTAACGTTTAAGTATCATCGAATGATAGGCAGTAAGTGGTTTGCATTATCTATAATTTATCTTAATTGTATTAAATAAATCCTGCTAACAATGACTGACTTATTAGTTTCAAGAATTGGTTTAGAATAATTACGGGAACTAAAAAAGGCGGACATTGTTATTATAATTAATAACTAATACTTTAATAACTATTTTCTTGTTTATCAATTTGGCCAAATAAATTTTTTCTAAGAATCTTGTTTTTTCATTGAGATTAAATTAATGGCTAAATTAAAATTCAAAAACCAATATTGTTTCTTAAATTTGGGGGCCAGAATTTTTTCTAGAGGTCAGGTTTGGGGGCTGACATTTTTGGGGGGTGCATGTATTTAAATCAAATTAATAGGGATTAATTTGTAGGAGAAATCGAGGTGAAACATTATTGGGCGAGATACATAAAACTTATAACAAATATAGAATGTACCATGATAACGTAAGAGTAAGAGCATGATGGAACAGGGCATGTTGGAATACCTACACCGCAATAGTTAATATTTTCTGTTATCGATTATTTTATATTTTCTCTCAAATTTATTAGAAGAATCCAGCCAAGATTGCTTATGACTGATAGTTAAAATATTAAACATTAATTTTTAATGTATTAAATAAGCATTATATAAATGTAATATCAGATTAGTTTCCTTTTAGAGAAATATTACATCAAGCAAAATAGGTAACTAAACTTATATTATATTTACTATCTGAATTTTTTAAATAAGCATTTAAATACAATCAAATTGTGTAATTGACTTTGATTTGGTGAATGTCTATTACCCGTCTGGATCTTTTATTTTTTATAATAAAGCGTCCTGAAGGACAGACCATTAGAATTTAAAAACAGGTCTTTGCCAATTTTATGATAGAACGCGTCCTAATGCAGATCTTAGACCGGACGGGTCGTAAAACACATTTATTTTCTTCAAATAATTAGATAATAGCAATAATGCACCATACAAATTATTGTCTAATTTATTATAAGAATATAAATTTTCACTTTACATGATTCACAGATATTTTGATAATTATCGTATTCAGGGGGATTATAAAAGAAATATTTGCTTCGAAATATATATAAAACCCAATTTTTAGATTTGGATATGCGATAAAAAAATATATAAATAAGTGTTATTGACGTAAAGCATATTAAAAATATTAATTATTCATTAAAATGTTTTTTTATAAATATAAGTAATTAGTTTTCCAAGTAAAAGAAGAAAAAAGTAAGTATTAATAAAGTTAAATATTGCGATAAGACAGGATAAAACAATATATAGATGTAAAATGTGATCCTTAATTTAATGTATTTGGTTGAGCAATTATAAACGTCATAATTATAAAAAATTAGAAGCAAAAATTCAGTTATAGGCATTATAATTTACATTTTCATACATACAAATAATTTATTATTGCATTTTAGTAATATTTGTTGATATTTACATATTAACATAGATTTACATTGTGTATAAGCTAATGAGTATCTGTGTTGGTTTAAAAAGAAGAAGCAAATTAGGTGAAAAAATATAAGATAAAAAAAAACGCTTCCCATATGAAGAAAATATTTGAACCATCCGCACGATGGTCTTAATAGTTATGTTGTAAATTTTTATCGAGGTTTTTGAAAGGCAATAGCGCCCTCTTCTTCAAATTTTCGAGCGATGCGACTCACAGAGGATTCATGGCGCTGAACCTTGATGATGTATAGAACATAGTTTAACATTAATTATATTAGGAAATGTTAATGAAGGAATAGAAGGAAGAATGTGATCAAAATAATTAAATGGGAATTTACCTTATAAAAATTGGCAAATAATTTAAATTAGGAAAAGTTTAAACTAGTGTATTTAACTAATTACTTGGAGAAAAAATAGTAATTTAAGATACAATAAATTAATTATATTTGAAAAAATGTGGCGTTAATTAGTAACTTTAACAACACTAGTAATATAGAGGTATCAAAAAACTAAATATGAAATCTGAATTAGTAAGATACTATATTATTCATTGGTTATCATATTGTTACAACTCATGCAATTTCACGATAAAAATATATAACATATAATAAAATATAGCTCGCTCATAATGTTTTCGCGTAAGCATTTGTATTTCTGGGATTTGAGAAATGTTATTAGATGGGCATTATTGTATCTATCTCAATCAAGCCAGAGAACAACCATAAATAAATATTAATATTTTGAAATTGCAGATGGAACAATTTTTTTTTAAAATCAACCAAGCCACCAGGATGAAAATGAAACAATATAATAATTAAGCGACGGTGCCGTGAATATTTTACCTTAATTTTGGGAGGTAGAATTACATTTTGATAGACGGAAGAGGTGGAAGGGGACGGAGGTGGGAGCGGAGGTTGAGGTCTCCGTTTCGACCTTGTACTGCCACTATCTTGCATCACTTTCTTCTTACTTTTATTGATAAACATTTCCGATTTAGGCATCTTCATAATTCGTGCATCCTTACTGCCCTTGTGTTGTGGGGAATCAGGAATTATGGCAGGTGGTGGAGGAGGAGCCGGTCTTAGCGGATAGGGACCAGCACTCGGACGGTCAGTTAGAGGCCAATCAGTTATATCTATAGTGAGAGTAACGCAAAGCGATAAATGAATTTTAATTCAGAATGCCCGATTCATATATTATAATGGGCTTAGAATTAATTATTTTTTTAAAAAATAATTAATATTATATTAATAAATATTATTTTAATTTTTAAAAAAATATCGCATGTATATTTCAATCCTCGCGTTACAGGGATAGGAGTGATAAAACGAGTATTTAAATAGCAAACGTGTAAAAATTTAATCCAAATACTCCCTTTTTCATTTTATCACCATTTATTTAGCTGAATTAATTATATCTGTAAAACTTTCAAGATTTTTAATTAAGAAAAATTAAATTTTTTTTAGTGTTTTATGTCAAAAAATAACCTTTCAACAATTTGTTGTCTTTTTGTTCCATGAAGACGTGGTGAATATGTTGGGAGGTTAAGGAGTTTTGTTTGTTAAAATTCGCCAATTTTTCGGGCTTTTTAAATTTATCAGCGGTATTTTTCGAATCGTATTCCTTGTTTTTCGACTTGTAGTTTTTGAATAAATATGTCAAAACATTCCTAAAGTTTTGCCAAAAAATAAAAATTCACAAATATTACGTCATCCATTTGTTATGATCAGAAAATATCCTACTTAATTTAAAATTTCAGGAATAACCTGTTGTATAAAAATTTAACTTTATACCATATTTTTTTGGTTTCTAGTGTTGGTAAATGTTAAATCTAGGAGTAAAAAAAAATCGAGAATTGCGAATTGCTCATTTTATTAGTTAATTCAAATAAAAATAAATGATATGCTCAGTAAATTAATTTTAAACGTATTTATATATTTTTTAACTAAGTTTTATATGATTTCAAGTAAAAAACTTTTAGAGATTTATGGGATAAAATAAAATAAATAAGATTTGTTTGCTTAGGAGTAAGATGAGGGAACATTTTTTAAAGCTTATTTTCATCATATTCTTTCTGCAAGTTGATCATTTTACGGTATTCGTGAATACGCGGCTTAGATTATGAAGAAAGAAAGATGCCATGCAATTTAAATTATAAATAGTTTGTAATAAATGACTAAATTAAATAGTTATAATCATAATTATTTATACCTTTTAAATTAAAATTTATTAAAACATAAAAAAAACTCATATAAAAATTGAGGGGGTGGGGCGGGAAGTTTTCTAAGAGTCAGGCCTAGTTACGGATATGCTGGTTAATCTTCACGAGTTTGGCCTAAAAGTTGTATTTATAAATTCAATTATATAACGCCTAAAGCTTATAATAAAGGGGATCTTTTTTTTAAAAGTATAATGGTTGTTTGAGATCATTTTTCCTCAAAATTTTCAAAATATGAATACCTGACAAATGTGGTCATAGTGTGTGGTCCATCGTAATCGCGGCCATTTTTATCGTAGGTGCGTCTTTTATGGCAATTGCCATAACGAGTTCGAATTTTGTAAACACAATATGTCATTAAACATATCGAAGGAACGAAACACAAAAAGAGCAAAAGTAGGGCTTTTATAAATGGTTTTATCCCTGTTAATTATTTTTTTTTTCAAATGGAATCTATAAAAACGAAGGATAAAAGAAAGTTGTTAAAATGGAAAATTTTGGTTAACCTAGATCAGTGCTTAATATTATAAAACATTTTGATATGAATTTGACAGAAAGGAACCGAAAAGAAGTCAAGATAAGGAGGTAGTCATATTTGAAGGTTTAATTATATATGTGAAACATGGGCAATAAAAGCGGCCCATAAAGCCAAATAGGAAAGAACTGAGGATGATTAGATGGAAGGGTATCTCTGAAAGAGAGAAAAACTAGCAAGGAATTGTGAGCAAGAATGAGTAGTGATTGGAGTGGTAATGCGAAAAAATAGACTAAGATGGTTTGGGCATGTGGAACGTAAGAGAAAAGATGAATGGGTAAAGAGATGCGCCTTGATGGAAGTAGAAGTGTCAAGACATAGAAGAAGACCCAAAATGACGTATCAAGGTGATAGCGGCGGATATGAGAAAAATAAATCCTATAAATATTGATGCTAAGGGCCGTTAAAAATGGAAAAGAAAAATCAGCGGAAAAATTGGCCAACCTTGGTAAACCTGAAAATTGCTATTAACGGGGAAGATTTATTATATATGTCAAAAATAATATATTAATAATTATATAGTGATGATATTTAAAAAAAATGCAATTACTGGTGATATTCGCTGGGGGTCCGCTGTTGATGCTTCCTCCTATGCCAGGTTTATCGCAATAAGGAGGGCCATACCCCTTGTAACAATGACAATTGTTTTCGCTATTACATATCTAAATCGTTACAAAATATTTTAACATTTTTTTAAATTATAATACGGGGGTTTAACTCACATCATGAGAACACAAAATTAAGTAAACAATATTTTTTTACATTTTACCCTGTTTAAATTTGAAAATCATAGATAAAAAAAAGAAATTAATATCTTTTAGAATAAAGTGCATTTTAAAAGACAAAAAAGAAGTTGCTTGTATAGCCCCACCTAAAAAATAATTTTTTAAAAAACAATATTTTGATTTTTTTATAGTAAAATACTCAATTATTTTTTATGGGTGGGTTTTGATATATATTTTTTTTGGAAAGTAATCCAGAGATTAATAAAAATTCTGAAGATCTTTAAAAAAATCATTTTTACCTTTTCTAAATAACGATCAAAATATTACTCGGAATCGTGAAAAATCTTGATGTCGCCTTACACTTTAGCTTTTAAATATACTTAATATTTCTAATTAAACTATCATAGTTTATCAAAAAAATTATTCTTAAGTATTCATGGAATATATTATAAATAATTACAAAATATATTCATAAAATATGTTCTAAAACTTATATTACCTATAAAAAAATTCCATAAAAATATATTTTTTAATATAAATGATATTTTTAAGCTACTGCCTTCAGAATTTGCTTTTAATTATTTGTAAAAAATATAAAAGTTGAGATATTTTTATTTATAAAAAAAATACAAAGTTTTAACAAGTAAAACACCTAATTTAATTATATTTAGGAATTAAATGTCTTTTATATTCTCTCTATAAAAAATAAAAATTAAATAGTATTAAAAAAATTTCTCGTTTCAAAATGGACTTTTTTGGAACATTTTATCAAAAGTATTTTTATATATAATATTTGAATTAAAAAGGGGATAAAATGTGAAAAAAAATGGCGTTTACATATTTTATATTTCCATTATGTGAAGTTCAACTTTTGTTCGAAAACAACGCAAAATTCTATATAATTCAGTCATGAGATAGCAAATTTTTTTTAAAATTATGATTTATGCTATAATGTCGAACCCTGAAATGTCGATCTTTTCAGACCTTCTTTATAAAAATTTTATTTACTTTTTATTTAACTGAATGTTTATTTTTTAACACAAATATTATATATTGTAATTTTGATTTAATAAATATATGTATATAAGGTACCCCGTGACCACTGCAATTCTTCCGGCATTTCCTGATGTTCACTTTGGATTCGTGGATGCAGGATCTATTCACGCATACCTAAATATTCATTTTTTAAAAAAAATAAATAGTATGGAAATTATTGAGGATTCTTCGCTAAACATAGGATAAATTGAAAAACGTTAAGGAATTTAAATTTTATTATTATTAAAATTAAATAGCATATCACACATATTAAATATGTAAAGAACTTTTGATAACAAGAAATTAAAAAAGAATATATTGAGACTTTATTTCAAGCATTATCATTTTTTAAATGATAAAATCTTTATACAAAATAAAATGAAATAAAGATAAGAAAAAAGAGGAGGAATAGGAAAACAATAAAATTCTTCTTTAAAATATATAATAAACTCTTATAAAAAAAACAATTTAAAATTGAGAGATAAAAAAAATCTCTAAAATTATTTCAGTCTGTTCTTATTTAATAAAGTAACTTCTTTGCCCTGTTAACCCTTGAATTAAAAGAGTACTTTCTGCAATAAGAACTCCATAATTTATAAATACTTCTTTTATTTAATCTATAATTTAAGAGTTTATCACACAATTATATATTTTTTAAAGAATGGAGAATGCATAAACTTTTTCGGGCCCGCAGGTCGCGCCATCAGGAGTCATGCCAGCATCTTTGACTTGCGATCCTAGATCAATGAAGACAGAATGGCAAGACCAGTAACGTGTCGATTGACGCTAATAAGTTTTTAGGAAAATTATCTTGAAAACCTTTAATTTAGTATAATTTGTTTCGAAAGTGTCCTCATAATTAGATGGCTGGTTGTTGGGAATTTAATTTAAGAAAAAATATTCAAATAAAAATAAATATATCTTCCAAATCTTATTCTTCTCTCATTTTTGTATCTTATTATAAAATCAATAAAAAATAAATACATTATTTTATCAAGTTTATATTTTGGAAAATAAACCTTTATTCTAGGACTAAGATTAAATGGTTTGGTGACACTGGCATATCTGACATAAGAGTGCCATTCTTTACGACCAGATGTGTCCCCATAAATCGGCCTTTCTGCCTCATCCACACAATGCACACGCCCGCACATGTAATCACTTATTGGGAAAACGCGATAATATAAATAGATAATTTTTAAAATGAACTAGAATAAATATGGCGATTATGAGATTAGAAAGGAGTTCATATTATTTGGAAACCATGCAAATCGATAAAATGTTAGGAAAAAATAAATACTCGAAATGTAAAAAATTACTCGTTGGGACATGAAGTGAAAGAAGTGGATACAATGTCGTATCCGCAATCACCATTTTTGTGCCGCGCGTCAATCGTTTCAATGCTGGGAGATTGACGAGAGGATAATGACACCTTTCATATTTTTTAACAGATATTTTTATGTTATACCATTCTAAATAGGGTTATTCACTATATTTAATATTTATGCGAAAGCACGTTTAAAATTCATTGCTAAATAACATCCTTTCTACGATTAAACGGTAACGCGGAGTTTTTAAAGGTTCCAGATTGAAATCAATCAATTTAGTTACAAAAGATAATAATAATAATAATATTGAAAGAGATTTCAATAAAATTCGAGAAATGTAAAGGCATACCTTTTGTCGGGCGGGATTATCGGAAAAGGCGTTTTGTTTGAAACAAGTAGGTACAGCCATTTTTGCGGAAGTTCCCCAAATAAGTTTGCACTGAGATGCGTAAGATTGACATTGCCCGTAAAAACAATGTCCTTTCGAATAAACTTCAGTGTACAGGTCTATTTAAAATAAATTTGATCTAAAGAAAAGGGCATATTTCCCTAACTCATAAAAAATATATTTAAAATATCGTATTTTATTGATAGATTATATTTCTCCATTATAAAATTATTTAAATAAATATATTTAAGAATTCTTTGATTTAAAAATGAAAATATAAAGTTGAAAGTAGCATGTTAAACGGCTCGATTTAGTCAATTATAATTTAAGATTTTACCCAAAATAATATTACACGAGCGTTGAGATTTCGTTAATAGATGTCTAAATCTTTCCGCCATCTATGAGTATAATCTTCAAGCTTGCGAAATATTTTTCGGCGAAAATATTGGGTTAGCCTTTTTGAAAATTGAACCAGTTAAAAACACTAGTTGATAGATACATAAATACTAATAACTAGTATTGTTAAGAGTTATTTTCGGAAAGTAACCAGTTATCGTTATATTCTTGAAAAATTGTGTTATATTGCAAGTTACTTTACCCTCGAATTTTATACTGGGACATAGCAGATGTTACTACAAAAAAACCTGTCAATATTTTGACCTGAATTTTCGATAGCCTTTTTATCCGCTAAACCATGTTCTACAAAGGTTTTTATATTTTTGTTGAATAAATTTTAAAATATGAACATTTTTGATATGAAAATTTAAATTAATATAATATTTATTTACATTGGGAAAGAAATTTAACAATATAATGCTTATTCATGCCCAAAAAATATATGAATAATAAAGTATTTTTTTTTTCATAAAAATTGAGTTCAAATAATTTAAATTTTTCAAATTTTCTATCAAAAGGGCATGCTGGGTTTTCTCTAAAAAACTACTCTAGACTAAACTAAACTTTTAAAAGATGGCTTGATATAAATGAGGCATTTTATTCAATATAAGCAATTCTAAATTTGGATAAGCATCAAAAATATAATAAATATTTAAAAAAAATAACTGATTACTTTTGTCATTACACAAAAAATGCAGTTACTAATAACATTTTTTTTGCAAAAAATATGCCTAGCTACCATATCACACCACCACTAATCTTATATTTAACACAAAAGGGTATAATTTCATCATCTCATTTATAAAACAATAGATAGACTAAGTGTATGAAACAATTTTTTCATTTAGATTAGATTACACTAATGGAGATTATGGCATAATATTTCCGAAAAATGTAATAGGCTAAATTAAAATAATATGATAAATTATATACCTGGATCTTCGTCAATGGCTCCTAGCAATTTATCGTTGTTCGAGCTATTAGTTTCTATATCTAAATCTATTTTATTCGCTATCTGAAAAAATAAAAATATGGATTATTAAATCATTTTCAATTATTCAAAAATCAATTTTAGAAGTATTAAAATGAAACAAAAAGGAAAAATTGCTCACTAGATCAAGGTGCCCAAGGTCTAGGAGGGAATTGGAGGAAGGGCAAGGCATTGCGTCTTGTACATGAATGTCACGCGGACAGAATTCCGATTTTCCATCGCAAAACTCAGGCAAGTCGCAAACCCCATTTACTCGCCTACACACGCTCGCCGCTGGTCTCAACTGTATTCATTCAAAAAAAATTCATAATTCATACGTTTGCTATGAAATATAATAGATAACTCAAATCACTCAAAATATGTTTTAAAATTGGGAACTAATAAAAACAATCATTTTAAGATTGATATATTTATTGATTATTTAACGACCAGATATTTTCCTTAATTCAAATATTAAACACTCAGTTAAGAAACGAACTTCGGAAATTATATCATTAATATTTGGGAAGCCAAAAGTAGTTGATAGGAGTGGTGTTAACGGATCACATGGGAAAAATGGGTATTTATTAAACTAGTAATACAGGATTGTAAAATTTATGTGGGGAGCAGAAGGCAAGAAAAGAAATAGGTATTCTGCAACACACAAAAGAATTTTGATTTAACGGACGACCCAAGCCAAGTCTCAAGACATTTTGTTTCAAAAGATGATCATCGTTTTTATGCAGCGCATAGAGTTATATTTTAAAAAATATATGGGATGACGAAATGTTATTAATTTTTTTGTTCCCGCATAAAATTAATATGATGCAACATGATATTTAGAAATTTTTTTATTGATTCATGTATAGTGTAATATAAAACTAACAAATTTTTTTAATTAAAAATGGCGGCTCTCTCTGGTGGTTTCAAATTCATATCATTGACACCTTATGGAAACTGAAACAGTTTCTATTTTCATTTAGATATAGTGGTACGTTGCATGGTTTGGAAGACCACCCTGTTCTTCTGAATTTACCTTTGTAACAGAGGGTACACCGTAGGGTGGTTCCTGCCTGAGGTTTATGAGCTGAGTTTTTTAGTCTAATTTCTGAAAGGATATAAGGCCTATTATTTTTTCTTTGCATTGATATATAACTATCATTCGGAATATTATCATCCCTATCAACATTTTTGCAGTGTTCCAATTCGCTAGCAATTATTTGTCTTCGGAATTCTTTCGATGAGAGTTTATTGTCTGTAAAAGATTGTAGCTTATGAATGAATTATAGCCGCATCTATCAGCCAAAAGAATAATGGCAGCCACCATTTTCGCCACCTTCGCGAAATTTCATGTAAAGGCTTTAAATGGTCGATATGGTCAACAGACCCCATAAATTTATTATATATCTTTATCATTGAACATTTTACATCAAATACTTCCCCTTTTTTTTTATTTTTTCTCTTCACAGTATCCACTGATCTCGGATCAATATAATTGGACATTATAAATACGTCCCGATTATCTCGCCTTTTAAAAAATAATAAGCCTTATATCCTTCCAGATTAGACTAAAAAACTCAGCTCATCAACCTCAGGCAGGAACCTCCCGAAGGTGTACCCTCTTTGGTAAAAAGTTAAATCCCAGAAGAACAAGATGGTGGTGCAAATCTGCAACGTACCACTATGTCTAAATAAAAACAGAAACTGTTTCGAAAGTTTCCATAAGGTGTGATCAAAAAAGGCACATTTTAGGCCGACCCCTTTTAAAATTGTTAAAATTTTCTAGAATTATTTAGATAGGTAAATAAATGAAAAAGCCGTTTATTTTAGCTTGCTAGCACACCTGGTTCCCGATATATGGGGGCTCAAAAGTGCAAAAAAAAGCCATTTCAGAATCTGTAAAATTTTTAAAATGCTTATATCCCAAAAACTATTTATAGTAAAAAAAATATATAATATATCAAATTGTAGGTAAAAAAAAATCTCTAAAGGGCTATCAAAAAATAATAAAAATTGGTGCCAATTTGAGTCTTTAACTTCCGGTTTACCTATATAGCTTTACCTGTATTTTTAGGCAAAAAAGGGAGTTTATTTTCGAAGTTTATTTATTGCTTTTTATTTAAACACCTTTGCTAAATATATATATACGATGTCAAAACCTTGGCGACGCTATCGATCGACTCTATACATTTTTACCAAAATTTGAAGAAAAAATAGATGGCGCTAATGGTTGAAAAATATTATTCCTAAGGAAAATGAAAATAATGATACGTTTATAAGAAATATGATAAAATTTTCCAGTTCTGCCCCCTCCCCACCATCCTTAAAAAGTTTTACATTTTTTAAATCTCTACTTTGCTACTATAGCAAATGACTTATTAGCTCGATAATATATAACGCCTGCAGTAAAAACGAATATTTTATTAGGCAAATTATCGATTATATTTTACTAGCATATTATTTTACAAAATAAACTTTTTAAAACGATCTCTCTTTCTGCGTAATTTTTAACTTGACCGTTCAGATTAATTTTAAATAATTCAACACGTCTGCATATTATTTTATCGTCTGTCTACCCAATAACATTCGGGATTTGAAGAGTGCAAAAACATATATTCTAGGTGCTGATCAATTACAATATATTCTATATCACGATGAAGGTACCAAATATTAAAATGTTACAAGCCATTTAATCTACAAGACATGCTTATTATCGCAAGAATCTAAGAAAAATTCTACCCTGGATGACCCAAAAAATTTACCATTCAATTTAGATATATTAATATACCATGCCGATAAAAATTAACAAGCATTCCTTATATTTCAAATGACAATGTAGATATTGATTCTCCCCCTCATATAATTAATCGAGAGGCTATTGAAACATTAATATATCTTTATAATCAATAGGGGAATCTCCCAATATAAGAAAACGCTTATGTGAAAAGAAATATTTGAAGAAAAAAATATATAGAGTAAAAAAAAAAATTTAACCACTAAAATTATACCATTATCTTCATCAAATGATGAAAACTTCGATGAAATTATAGATACCTTAAAAATCAATTTCTTACAACTGTCGGTAACAAATAAATATAGTTTACTAACATTATTACCATCAAATTGGACAGTAAAAAAAATTGTAAAAGAATTTAATATTTCATATCATATGGCGTTAAAATCAAAAGGTTTAATAAAAGAAAAAGGGTTTTTTTTCAACACCGAATCCTAAACCCGGCAAGGCAATAGATGCTGCCACCTTTGCTGTTGTCAAATTTTTTTATAGCAATGATGAATAAAGCAGATCGATGCCTGAGAAAAGGGATTTTGTTTCTATAATAAAAAATGGTGAAAAGATTCAAGTCCAAAAAAGATTAATTTTAATTAATTTACGAGAGCCATATCTTAAATTTAAAGATATTCATTCAAATATTAAAATTGGACTAACTAAATTTTGTTTTAAATATATATTTTAAATTATGGAATGAATATGATTTTATCTATATTTCTATGTATTAATAAAAATGAATATTAAGATAAATTATATGAAAGATATTTGTTATTGGAAATTTGTTACATTATTAAGTGTCTAATGGGCATTTCCCCACTCTGCCCCTCAGTTTATTTAGTATATTTAATAGAAATTTTTTAGTATAAAAAGTGAAAATATCCGGTTATTGATAAGTTAGGAGCAAAATTTTAACCATAATCCGTAATTTCATAAAGCGCTATCTATTTTTTTCACCGATTTTTGGAGTCGATAGCTTCGTCAAGGTTTTGACATCGTATATATATTTAGCAAAGGTGTTTAAATAAAAAGCAATAAATAAATTTCGAAAACAAACTCCGTTTTTTGCTTAAAAACACAGGTGAAGCAAAATAGATAAACCGAAAGTTAACGGCTCAAATTGTGACCAATTTTTATTGTATTTTGATAGCTCTTTAGAGATTTATTTTACCTATAATTTGCTATATTATATATCAATCTACTATAAATAGTTTTTGAAATATAAGACTTTTAAAAATTTTACAGATTCCAAAGTGGATCTTTTTGCACCTTTGAGCCCCTATATCTCGGGAACCAGGTGTGCTAGCGAGCTAAAATAAACGGCTTTCTCATTTTTTTACTTATCTAAATAATTCCAGAAATTTTTAACAATTTTAAAAGGGGTTGGCCGAATCGTGATCGATTTGACGTGGAATGACTCTGATATGAATTTGAAACCACCAGAGAGAGCAGTCATTATAAATTAGAAAATTTATTTTGTGTGTTTTATGTTATAATAAATGAATCAATAAAAAAATTACTAAATATCGTGTTGCATCATATCAATTTTATGAGGGAACTTAAAGGGCTCGTTATGTTGATTGAATTATTTTATTCCTTTTCTGTTAATATGATACATTAATTATTTAAAATAAATAAATGATAACCATGGACTCAGTTTTTAAATTTGTTACTTTTTTTAACTGAAGGAAAAAATATGTTATAGCTTTTATTTGGCTTATCAGTCAGTTCTGACCTAGCGATTGATTTTAGGCCAAAACATGAGGTTGGTGGACATGGGTGGGTGTCGGTGCTAAGTAACATAGTAGACCAGTTTTTATAATTTTGGTTTATTACGGGTTTATCAACCTTACTATAAATTTGTTAAATTTTATTATACGATTATAAATTTGAATAAATATAGTTAAAGTTAATATGCAAAATATTGGATTAAGTAATAATTGTTTTGTTTTTCCCTGAGAAAGGCACTGGATTATATATTTATAACTGAAATCAGATACCTACATGCTCCGGACTACCCGGACCGGGCCGTAGAAATGTTTTAAAAATCCGGGTCGGGCAATTAGAACATCTAGATTTAAATACAAGACTTCGTAGTGGGGAAAGTTTTTACCAATTGTGTAACATAAATTGAGTTGTATTTTCAATACACTTATAATGTACTAATAGCCAACACATCGAATCCACCCAAAATTTCTATTTTTTTGTAATTTGTGTAAATAGCGTGGACATTTTAAATTTTCAATGAATGTAAACCTTTAAAGGGAACATTTATCGGAAATAATGTGCCGAGTTTAAGTATATAAAATTAACTGGATTAAAAAATATTTGTTTTTTGAATATCGGGAAAAAAATCCATTCAAAAAAGAAAACCTCATATTTTTTGTTATATTTCATATATTTTAAAAGGTTATAATATCAAACGTTATTTAAATAATATATTTGTTATACAATAATATAGCGTATTTATATTAAATATTATATAAAAGGTCAGTTAAATTGAATAATTATAGAATAGTATATAATAAGAATTGAAAATAAAAAGTTACCATTGACCATATATTATGAGGTTTTCAAGTTATAAAAATTTTCATTTAAATTTTTTAAAAAAATAAAGAAGTTTTTCAGTTGTATTAAATAACTTCCCATAGCTTTGAGAATTTAATTAGCAGTAATTATTTTAGCGATTATTATTTTAACATATTTTAAAATGCGAACCTGACAAGTAAAGAAATTACAACACGATCCGGTGGCACAACTGGAATTGACGCTGAGTTTGCAAGTCACTGGATTACAACATTTGTTTTGGCAATACTACCGATCAATCGGACATATTTAAATAAAAATATTTTTGTAATTTATTAATGAAAATAAATAGATTTTTTTTAGAAAATAAATAAAATAATAGGTTTTAAAAAATACAAACTTCGGGCAATCCACAATCGCATTCCTCTCCGCCTTCCGATTCCAAAAAACCGTTTCCGCATTTAGGAGTATCTAATACTTTCGCAGGCACATTACCGAGACATGCATCCATCCCTCGGGCTATCGAGTAACTCAGATATTGTAAACTACAAGAAGACCATTTCGTTGCTAAGAAAGACCTATTTAGAGTTTCAAAAGTGAAACATATAAGTGTTTTAAAATAATAAGCACTAACAAATCGTCGCCTGAGAATTAAATCATTTCATCTCCACTTTTTGCGATTTCACAGGAGCGCAATTTTAAAAATTAAGTTTCTATTGTTTTCAATCGGATTTAACCTTAAACTCATTTTATAAATATTTCGGATTTTTTTATGTAAATAATAAGTATAATTATAAAAAATAGATTTATGTAAAAAGAGCAATTTTTGACAAAAATTGGAGATGTAATAACCGAATTATCAGGAAACGAAATATAATTTTATGTTAAAAATGATAATTCTGCTGGTAATTATAACTCGTGAAGTAAATTAAAATATAATACATTGATTGATAGCCCAATTTAGGCATTTTTAATGGATTTGGATGAAACTATCCGTGGGGATGTTGCGTTATTTACAATTCTCGCTAGCTATTTCAAAAACACATATAGTATTACTTAACATTCTCGAATCATTTTCATCCAAATCAAATAGACCCTAAACAAAACCAATTCATTAGTGAGTCATAGATAGAAGAATCTAAGTCATCACATTTCATTGCTAACATAAGCACATATATTAGTAGCATATAAAAATCACTATCGGAGAATCTAAAACATTACTTAGGGGTGACGAAATTTTATGGATAGACCATAAACCTTTACATATCTCGCATATTGATAATTGATAAATATATTTTACAAATGCGCGTAGAAGTAAATAGATATTAAAAAAAATCAGGAGAGCCGACAAAATGATATGAAAATAGGAACGACCTTATAAATGAAGGATGTACAGAAGATCTAGTGACAGATAACGTGTTGCAGTTTACTAGCAAAAGAAGAAGTCGAGTAAACAACAAGACCATATAAGATTTTTGAAAAAGGAAAAAAAATATATTTCTATTCCAGAATCAAGATGATGATTAGGTTTAATGACTAAAGCGTAAAATATAACAAATTTCAAAAAAAAAAATTATAAAATATATTAGTTTCGTTTATTTTCTTCTTTCTAAATATGCAAAATATATGAGATAAGGGGATAGAGGATTTTTATTAGAAGTTCGTATAAAACCTGAAATATTTAATAATATATAATTTTTTAAATTGGATTTAAAGCCCTTTTTTTAGTAAGGAAGATCAAAACTGCGACAAAATTTTTTTAAATGAGACACGACGATCGCACAAATTTTAAAAAATCACGAATTTTGGGCCAATTTTGACTAATTCTAATTTGAATATTAACCCGCTAGCCGGCGTCATAACGCAGACACGATCCGGACAATCGCAGATTTCGGTGTCATGGTCCATCCCCAGACTGTGGCCAAGCTCATGAGCCATCGTGCTGGCCACCGGTCCTACTAAATTGTTGTGGTCCTGTATTTAAAATTTAATGTTAAGAAATCGAATTTGCAAGCACTTATTTATTAGTATCTTATATTTCGTGTTATAATTTGATAACTACATTGTCAACCTTGAAACTAAAAAAAAATACATGCCAGGATCCCGGTCAGATTGTATTAAATACTCAATGTTTGGATTCGGGCATTGGATCTCCTCTACCTTGAATTTATTATGATATAATACTTAAATTTTATTTTAAAAAAACTTAATTATGTAGTGTTTAAAAAAAAGTTGCATATCTTTTAAGACCTCCGTAAAAATAAAATAAATATTAAAAACTATACCATGGCAACTCCAGTGGAGTCGCTGTAAGCACAAATTTGTCTTTTGATAGCCTTGCCAATCACGCCTCCATCGAAATAATGCGCTCTAAATTAAAGAAAAGTATAGTCAAGCGGAACTTTATTAAATAAAAAGGCTCGTAAAATTTCAATTTTTATTCTAATTCAACTATATCGTATTTCTCCTAATGTCATGTATTATTTCTAATTCATCTCATTATTTCCTCTTTCATTCATTCAATTATAACTTCCTTATTAAACTCAATTCATTCACTCTCTTTCCTAAAATTTAATAGCTTCTTTATTTTCCTATTTTTTTACGTTAGTAATTGAGCATTGTCGTGAGAGATGACGGGTAGTATGTGTTTTTGGCGGTAGGCGTTGAAATTTTTTAGTGTTTTATCTCCGTCACTCAAAATGGTTATTCTGTCGGAAGAGGTCCACACTTCCGTACCTACGAGTGCTACCAATATATTCAGCTGTTTAAAAATCTATACAATTCGTTCGTTATAAGTAAAAAAATATAACAAGAGATTATGATTACTTTCTAATTTCTATCTAAATTTTATTTAAAATTTCTGAAATTTTTTTTTGAACAGCATAGTTGGGTAATGGCTAAATGTCGACTAATTCGGCTCAATTTTCCGGTAATATTAAGGTGTTTTAATTAATATTAGTTTTACCCAAATTTGAGCTGCTCTCTTTGAAAAACCACGAGGCCATTGTGACAAGAAAGCTAAAAATATAGTAATTACCCAACTATATTGAGCAGGGATGATTGGTCTATGAATCTTTCTTTCGTTTTTTCCTTTCTTTAGGCCAATATAATATTTAACAGTGTGAAAAAATATATTCTATTGCTAATAGTATAATTAATAAATAAACGTACCGCATTTAATATGTGAGATATCTGAAGAGTTCTCAGGATTACTTTCCTCTCATCTTTTCCCCATTTGACGTACTAGCATAATAACAATATAATTTAATTAATATTTTTTTAAAAAAATTTGTCGATGTGCAAAAAGGAATTATCTTAAATATATTTAAAAATGGCACATAATAGCAGGGTTTCGAACCGAACCGCCAAACCGGAATGAATCGTTATGATTTTCTGAAGTAACTTTAACCGAACCGTTATAAAGAAAATATAAAAAGAGCGAACAAAACCGTTATAAATATTTTGAACCGGTTTTAAAAAATAATTAATTTTAAATTATTAACCTAAATTTTAAATTTTAATTTTCCTTGGGGGCATTATTTAAATTGTTGATTTTTTTTCAAATTAAATATTTTTATATTATCAACATTATATATTAATTAATACCAAGTTTATTGTTTTTTTCTTTAAATACTTAATTTATTAGAGATTAGGCAAATTATCTGTTAATTAGATAAGATATCTTAAAATCACACATAATTATTCTTGGTTAAATTAACAAGTTTATATATATAAGATATTAACAAGCTTTTATAATAATACTTGCTAATAATTTAAGAAAAAATTAAATAATTCTACTATTAATAACTAACATCTAATAGAAATCAATTACTTTTTACATTCATTTTTATATTATATGGTTTATTTTTTATCCCATTATAAAAACTTGGATCATAGAATTTAAATGACAATAAATAAAATGGTCAGCAATATTTTAAAATGATATAATAATTTTTTATTTATAATCATATTATGTTTTTTTAAATTCAGATTTCTAATATTCATTTAAGTCATTATAAATTTTTTATTATTAATTAAATATTTTTAACATTTGAAGAAAGATAGATCGCCAGAAAACATCTTTGTAAAATTTGGAACTTGATACTAAGTCTAAATAATCAGAATATTGAAATTCTAAATACCATGCCTACGTGTTCGCATTCGAAAGATTTAAATGATGATTTTGAAGATTTATTAAAGTCGCATGAAAGTCTTAATAAGAATAATTCTCAGGGCATAGAAAAATTATAAAATGTTAGAAATAGAATATATAATTCGGTCATTTGATAATGTAGAGAGATTAGAAAAAGATACTAATCTTTTGAATAATTAGTAAAATGTAAAGAATAGTATGCCAGAACTTTATAAGTTAACTATAACTGTGCTAGCAGTTCCAGCTACGCAGGTATCCGTAGAAAAAGCATTTTCTAGCCTTAAGTTTATAATCTCTGCGCAGAGAACTAAAATCCTGAAATATTAGAAAATATTTTAGTTATCCATTCTAATTCTCTTTTTAAACATAAATAATATACATTTTATTATATTTATGCGTTATTTTATTCATCATTGTATTTACGCATGTTTGTTTTTATCTTATTATTTATGAAATAAAAAAAATTAATTTGTCTAATTTATATTTACTAAATTTAATAAAAATATCTATTAGATTATCATGGTTAAATTAAATAAGAAATTATAAATTAAAAGGATTTTTCTCTAAAATTAATATTTACATGGTTAATGATTAATTTTTTTTTAAATCAAATTTATAAAAACCGGAACAAACCGAAAAGAACCTTTATAAATTATAAACCGAACCGAAATGTTTTTTTAAAAAACGAAATGGAACAAAACCTTTATAAATTTTAAACTAAAAACCGGAACGAACCGAACCGTTATGCTTAACTGTTATAAACCCTGCATAATAGTGAATTAAACTGATGACTCATTCAATGTGTATCAATACAAATTAGCTGGTGGCGCGCCATTTAAAAAAAATAGTTACACTTATTATATTAATAAAATAGAGGAAACCAAAAAATGGCGTGTCAACAGCTGATTTGTATTCAACGAATCTCTAAAACGCATTTAATGGAATAGTCTTATAATGTAAATGAAAAATATACACATAATTATATTAAAATAAGAATCTACTTGAGAATGATCATTAACGATATAAAGTTCGATGACCAAGGGAGAATGGCCTTGGTATTCAGGTACAATTAGATCTCTTTTCCTTCTCTTTTTTTATAAAAAAATAAAATATATAAATTAAAACTCAGGGTTGTGAACCCGCTAAAATGGGACCGCGCTTGGGTTCAAGTGTATACTATCAATTTAAAAAAAAATCAGACAATATAATATAATTAAAGCTCTTACATACAGTATTTAGGATCTTTTATTTTACCTTAAAAAGAACATGCCATAGTGGATTTCGATTAGGGCTGTATCAATATTAAATATCAGTATCGAATAGGAGCCACTATTTTTTAAAAATTTAACCGATACCGATTTATACATATTTTTATTTTGAACTAATTTCTCTCACATAATAAATCTTCATAATTTTCATAAAAATGTATCTTATAAATAAAAATATTCAATGTTTATTTTAAACATCAACGAAAATATATTTTATCTCAGATCGCTCCTCTTGATTATTGTAGGTAAAAAAATTTATATGCAGATATTTGGCATCTCTTGCAACAAAAGTTCCATTAGAATCAGACTTCAGCACAGCTGGTGATAAAGATAGCCCGCAAAGGAGAAGCTTATTATTACATAAACTTGAGGCTCTTATGTGTATAAAGACAAATATCCATATTAATTTTTTTTTATTCAAATAAAGATACAGTTTAATATAACAGAAAATTTAATATGATATATATATATATAGTTTGCTAGCATATAAATTTATACTTATGTATTAAGGCTTGAAAACTCTGATCACTGTAAAAAATAATAATATGGAACTAATACTTATTAAAGGCTACAATTTAATAAAATAAAACATTATTTACTATATATAATAAAAATATAAATCTTTATGCAAATTTAAAGATGAGACATATTTTTATTATTCCATTATTTTATATTATACAAAGTAATGATAAAAAATGAATGTAAATATCGGTATCGATCAATGCCGTTTGAAATAAATATCGGAACGGATCGGTGAAAAAATTATTGGCGCAGCCCATTTCGATCGATATTGACCGTAGAATTGGATAATAGTAAAATTAAAAGTATATTTATCTATTTTTTAAAAAAAAATTGCATGAAATATATTAAAAAATTAAAGAGATAACCGAAGTAAAGAATAGGATTAAAAGTTAGATATGCATATGGGTTAGGGTAAATTAAAGGTTTGAGAGATAGAGTTAATCAGCGATGTTACCAAAATGTTAACAAGATTTTTGCTAAATGATTTAGATTCTAGGTCTAGAGCGGGGCAAATTTTCAAAAAAAAATGCATTCGAATATAAATATCCCAGAATTTTATTTTGAAAAAATTATTTAAAATATAAATACTTTTTTGGGAATAGATTTTATAAACACTTTTTCCTAAACTTTCAAATGATATTTTTAACCATAGAAATCCTAAAATTTGCTTTAAAAGATTCTAAATTATAAGATTTTCAGTTCAACGTTTTAAATTCTAAGTTTACAATGAAACGTCATAAGCAGATTATAATATATTACACTAATTAATGCCCTTTGAAACTAATTATCCGCTTTTAAAAAAATCTTGAAAACTTATCATTGATATAAAGAGAATTTTAAGAAAAAAATAATATGGGATTTTGGGAGTAGAATTTGGTGAAAAAAATGTTATAACTTAAATGCCTCAAAGATTTAAAACTAATTTAAAAAAATCGCTATAATCATGTAATTTAATGTTCTCATCTGGTGTCAATTTTTTTAATATATTCGAAAATAAATTGCCACAACCACAATATAAAAAATATTAATTACTATTTATTTTAAAAAATACCGTTTTGTAATTTTGTGGTGGAGAATTGACTAGTTTTACGTTGTTCGCGATTTCTAAATATGCCGACGTCAAATAAAAAAAAAAGAATAATTAAAATTTTCGATTTAGCGCGTTTTAATAATTCCTTTAAGTAAAATATATGAAATATAAAATTATTCATCGTGCGATTATTGGAGTGCTCCAGATGTGTTTTTGTTTCCAGTTGAGATAATCGACTTTTAAAGTTTCAAATCAATATTCTTGCTATACCTATTGGCCAAATTGAAAAGAAAAAAAAATTGGGGATACTGCATTCAATTAATTATTTTTTAAAAATTTTTGGTTATATATTTTTCTACAAAATGCAATTGAAGCAAAGATAATCAATTAATAACCAAATAATTTATAAGTGCTCTTCAAAATTTTTATTACTTTATTTAATTTTAATTAATTATTACAGATTAATAATATATTTTTAACATTATAAAAATCATATTATTAATAACTTTATTAGTAATTTAATTAATTTAGAATAAAATTAATACTAAAATTAAGATTCATAGAATGTTTTTATTCGTTAATGATTGCTTCTAGGCATATCCACCTCTGGCATATAATAATGAATGAATAATTAAGTAAAGCACACTAATTATAGAATATATTTATATTTTTATAAAAATAGGTTAAAGCAATAATTGATATAACTATGTCAAAACCTAATATATTTTATCCAAATTTTGGGTTACATACAGATAAAGATAATATTAATTAATATTAATTTCCAGGGCACGTTTTTCACAAATTGTTTTATACTTCCAAACAACAAGCGATTTTTTATATTACAAAATATTTAATAAATAATTTGTGCAAAAATATACTATATATTCCCAGAAAATAAACCTTAATATTATTTACTTATTAAAATGTAAAGACCATATATATTTAGAGGACTACATTATTTTTAAATAGCATATACAAGGAATATTTAGAGATATAAGTTATATAAGAGAAAGATAAGACTTAATTCTTAAATAGATTAAAATATCATTCATCAGATAAGTTTAAAGAAATTATATTAGTAGCTAGAACAAATCATAATAACAAAATAACAATATCGAGCACAAATAATAAAATAATGGAAAATACAAATAAATAAAAGTGAATATAATATTATTTATTATAAAATTTACATTAATAAATGTAATGTCATAAAAAATGTAGGCAATGAATATCTTAAATATATAATACATGTTTTACAATATTGAATTAAAAGATGGATTTAAGAAAATATAAAGGATAAAGATAGTAAATCTATTGACGATATAACTTATAAAGAATTAAAATTATATTAAATGACATAAATAATTTGCAAGGTTTTTATTTGTAAATATGTAATTAACATTTCAATAACAACATATCTGTCATATTAGCTAAGGTTTGTAATTGTTCTAAGATATTCTAGGATAAATTTAATATCTGATCTGCTAAATACTCATTTCTATAATAATGATCATGGATAGTTATTTAATAATTTTATTATCATAATTTCCTTAAATTCATTGAATGCCTTATTTTAATTTATAAACAGAAATATAAATTAATAATTAAAAAAAATCCTTTGATTAAAAATTATAGATAAAAAGGCGTTTAGTAAACTCAACAAGATATAATACAATAACAAGCTATTTAACCTTTTAGCATATAAAATCTACATTCATCTAATGCTTTATTTGAGTAATTATGTTTCACCTTGCTTAAAATTATTACATAATATAATATTTAAAAACAAATTGTTCACTACATTCGATCATTAAAAAATATCAAACTAGATTGATATTAAAAAATAGCAAAATCGCAGGCAATAAGTTGTTTGGAAGGAAACATCTATTAAATTCCATTTGTTTTTTCACGCTTTGAAAAAACATTGTGCTAGGAAATGGTCTAAGATTGTTTTGCCTTTAAGTTGAATTCTATACCCTCAAAATACTTAATAAGATTCAAAAAATATCAAATCTGAAAACCGAGTTAGAGGTAAGTGAAATCAATTCTTGTAATTGTACAAAATTTAAATTTATATTTTAATAAAATAATTTTTTTTTCAAAAAAATATAAACCTAATATGACATTTAATAATTAAATAAATTATGAGCCGGCCTTGTATTTATATATGTTTAAAAAAATAGGATGGGGGGGGGGGAATTACTAACCGCAATTCTTGGTATAATTTCCATGTGCAGTATCGTTTTCGACAATCTTTTGGTACTTTGAAAGCAAATGAGGAACTCTAAGAATATTCGAAGATTCGCTTTGCATTGGTTGCATGTAATAGAAATCCTCGCCATCGTTTATTATTCCACTTTACATATACAATTATTTAATTTTTTTAAAAAAAAAGAAATTTAATCATAATGTTATATTTTTGTAAAGATTTTAAAAATTATGAAACAGTGAATTTATATTAATATAGTGATCGTAAAAAATAACTTTTGAGCAAATTTTGAATATAGCGAAGAGTTCGCTAAGAACTTTATTTTAAATCAAAATTTACCCGCTTATTGGGAGGCTTCTATAATTATCAACAAATGTAAACTTATTAAGTTGATATGTTATAAATGAGAAGAAAAAAAATTGTTTAAAATACTACACTACAATTTTCGCCATATCTTTTTAGTGTTGTTAGAAGGCTCGATTTTTAAAAAACGTTAACCCCAATATTTTAGCCAAAAAATATTAAGGTAGCCTGAAAATCTTGCTCATAGATGGCAAGAAAGCTTTGTCTATTAATGAAATCTCGAGGTTAGCATAAAATTGGCTAAAATCGAATTAATTTTTTAGTAAAAATTACCTTAGAAATTATTTATCTTCAATTTTTCAAAAAAAAAAGAATGGTAAAAGTTTAAATTTAGAATAAAAATGGCCATACCGAAGTCCTAGTAAATAATGCTGCGTAAATTTAATAATCGAATAGAGCATTATTACTTAAAGTGAAAGGTCCTATCACAATTATCCAAGACGAGCCAAGAACCGGGGATGGACCTGATCGTTCCTTCGTAAAAGCATTTCGTAAACTGACTTCTTCCACCCTTTTCATTAGTAAACATAATTTTTTTAAAAAACAACAACATATTTGGTTTAAGGGTTTTGGCAAAAAAATAAGAATTATATCTCAATTAAAAAATGGACCCGTATATAATATATTTTAAGGGCAACTCTATCAAAAAACGGGGTGATTTTTAAATTATCAGTAAAACTCCGAAAATAAATTTAATTTTGAAAAGATTAAAAACATTGAATTTCAAAGATATCCATTAAATTCAAAAATCTTACATCATGCGTCGAATTAGCTGCAGAACGGAAGTAATGCGAATGATTGTAATTGGTCGTAGCATTTTTGGCAGAATAGATAGTTTCCTTGTAATTCGTTGGGAACCATTCTCTAAAAATGTGAATATAATATTAAATTATGAGGAAGGATGATAGGAAAGTATTGGAATGCATGGCAATTTAATATCAAGCGATATTTTTGAATTAGGTGACGCTGATGGATCATATCAGATGTATCAAAATGAGAGATTAAAAATTATTAATTTAGGATGATACGAGGCTAATATTGGGTCCATAACTACATAGATTTATTTTCAACTACAGTAAAACTTATCTAATTTTGGCTATTTACAATTTGTGACAACCCTAATCTGACCAAAATTTTAAGTCCCAATCAGGTATTATCAGGGATCCAAACCGAACCTGAACCACTAAACCGCTAAAAACCGGTATTTTTTATCGAACAAACCGAACCTAAACCTCTAAAAAAATTTCTAGCCGAACCTGAACCGAACCGCTAAAATATTACTAGGATATTGCAAAGATTTTAATTATATTCGAATTGTTTTAAAGATTATTATCAATCACATTTAATTGATAAGTGTAGGTCATAATTTTTATAAACTTTTGTATATTGCCATTTTACAACATTTTTTAAATATTTTAAACTTATAAATTATAATGCCTAGAGAAAAATTAAATCCAATATATAAATTATTTACATATAGTATTACTGGCAGTGCCGTCTACCCAAGTTAGTATGGAAAGATGTTTTTTAACAAATTAAATATATATTATCTCCTTATAGATGTAATATGAGTGAGACGAATTTTGAAAATATAGTAAATTTCTATTTTGATTTATATTAAAATTAATAGATAATATTTATTTGTTATATTAATTAAACATTATTTTATAATGTGCAATTAATTAATAAAAATGAAGGTTTTATGTATGTGTTTTTTTATTTTAATTATGAAATAAAAAATTCTCCCCTATACACAATTAATGTAGGTTTGAATATAAAAGTGTTCAAACCGGTTTTTAGAGGTTCGAACTGAACCAATATTTTTAGTTTTTACGAAACCTGAACCGTTATTTTTATCCCAACCTAAACCTGAACCGACCAGATATTCGTTTCGGTTTGGATCCCTGGGTATTATTATTTAATTAGAAAAGGCCTTGATAAATCCATTTTTTTATAAATTTGGTTATTTTATCATTGTGTAAGATTATAATTATATAATATTTTTATTTATTTTAGGCATAATTTTTTTAATTTCCTAACAATAATTAAAAATAAAAATTATATAATTTTTTTTAAACATTTTACCATAATTTTTTAATTGTTAAAGAAACCAAAATAAAATTTATTTATTGTTTAATTAAAAATCGAATTGTTCATTTTAAAAGAAAGAGTAGATAAAAAAATGTGACAATTATTATTGAGAATTGCAACAAAAAAAGGATTTTAAAATATTTAAACGAGTCAAATTCAGCTATAAAAATTGCCCTTAAAATGAGATAGATGATTGACTTTTGGGGAAATAAAAAGAAACAAAATACGTTTAATTATTAGGCACTAAATATAGCCTTAGCTATGGGAAAGGGAAAATTTCATGTGGTTCTAGTTTTGTGCATTACAGGTAGTAGTAGTTATTTTTTTCCCTCGCAAAAAATATTGGTTTTTATAAGACATTAGTTGAAAGATGGATGGTAAATAAAAATAAACCTAAATAGCGGATCGGATAGTGAAAGATTTGTGGATCGGAACAGCCCTTAATGCAACTGACTTTTAGATATAAATACTCCGGACTCAAAGATACTAAACAAAAATATCGCTGAACCAGGACAAATATACCCTTTCTTTATTTTTAAAATTATAGTGCTTATAAATTGGGACTTATATGTTTTATTTTAAATAATATATTTCATATTGTTTATAACTTTTCTTTGCTTAATAATTTAATTCCTGCAAAAAAACGTTTTGTGACAGTAAGATGCCTTCGTGGCTTAAAGGTAAGACCTATCGAACTATCGTCAGCTCGGTTTTGTAGTATGGGTGTGAAAATGGGCATTGCGAGCAACTGAGAAAAAGATGTGGGATATAACCGAAATGAGCTGATCAGATGGATCCTTGGTTATACCAAGCTGAATCGTGGGACCAATGACAGCTTAAGAAATAAGATGGGCGTAGCTCATTTGTCGGAAAAGATAAGGAGAGTAGACTGTGGTATGGACTTATGATCTGCATCGGACCTAATATTTCAAACCAGGCCCAAAATTTTTCCTGCCCGACCCGATCCTGAAAGAATTTTTTTTTATTTATCCAGAAAAACCCGACCCGAAATAAAAATTATTTGCCCACCCGGCCCGAAATTTTTCTTTGATTGTAAAAAAAAATATTAGCGTGCAAGAATTTTAAAATATATTAATTTATCTGACAAAATGTAATATTATATTTAAAAATTTAAACCCGACCTGGACAGATATTTTTTTAAATAGACGGGCCGGGTCGTTATTTGCAGATCTCTAGTATCGACATTTGTTAAAAACTGGCTCAACTAACGTGAATCGGCAAGTTCTCGATCTTGAAGTTAGTGGACAACGAACTAGAGGCAGGCCACAACTAACTTGGGTTTTTCAAATCCGCATAGACATTTTGGATAAGAAAATTGTCGTTGATATGGCCCAAAGCCAAGCCATATTGAAGCATGGGACGTGTTTTAAATACCCAAATAGTTTTGGGAATCGTGTGATGAAGAAAAAAACAAAACATAAATGTTCCAATAAGACACTCATGTAAGGACCGACCTGAGTAGGATCTAGATCTTAAAATACGAAACGGGCTGGACCTAGGAAAAATTTGAAATTATTTTGTTTATAAATATTATTTTTAAAAAAATAAACACTTAATTTTTTTATTTTCCTCAATTTTTTCTTAAATGATCAGTCCCAAAAATTGGTCCAGTGCAGAAATCTAATACTAACCATATGCTATATTAGGCTTCAACATGTGACTAGGCTGAGTAAAAATATATATAACCCAAGTCATCCCCTAAAACTAACCCTAGTCCTAATCAGGAGTTTATATTCATTCTTTTCTTACCCAACACATATTGCTCTATTTTCTTAAATTACTCTATCCCATTTTTAAAAACTTTCTCAAGATTTTAAACAAATTGGGGTATTTTGTCAGGTATCTTTTTCTTTATGAGTATATTCATCCGGAGTCTTTTTGTCCACTACATTTCTGTTCAATTAGTATTGAAAAATAAGTTATAAATAGGAGATAGTGACATCGGACCTACGACTAAAAATCGGCATCAGTGGTCAGTCAGAATACATCTTTAGAAAACTAATGCATTGGAAAAAAATAGGTAGTAATAAATTCTTATAAGACTGTGTTAGAAGTATTAATAATGTCGACATTATGTTTAAAAAAGTGAATAATATATACGTTTGTGAATCAGTTAAGTCTAGAATGATATCCGTTGAAGAATAAACGTCATTTTGCGGAAGATGCGATATCGAAATTTCGAAAGATTTATGTTTCGCGGGATTCTAAAGTCAATGTCAAATAAAATATTATATGATAACAAAATATGGATTATACAAAAATTTTTTTATTCTTTGTGCCCTTTTAAAACATCTTAATTTTAATCTATTCAACAATTTGAAATGAAGGATCTAGTCAACCATTACTATATTTAGTGCATATTGGTTGGGTAAGATAAGACTTAGATATGAAGAAAAAAGAAAAGAATTAATCCTATTTTAAAAGTATAAATAAAATAATATTATCAATCATATTTCGTATAGCTTTTATACTTTTATAATTTAGTAGCGCTAGTCTAAAAAAATAGCCAAATAGACTTTTGACATCTTTGGAAAATGTGATACCAAAATTAGATGGGTAGGTTACAGTGATAATGATTACATTTCTTTCTTTGTTTAAAATAGGAAGAAAACCTGGGACCGCATCAATTTAAAAATCGAAGCCAGAACTACCTTTCTTTCTTAAAGTTCAAATTTCAAACTTTTGATAAAATTTTCAAATTGTTTTGTTCAATCTTTCCTCTAAGCGAGAGCTTTAAAAATGACATGTGCCTTCATTTCAAAACTATAATTATATGGTGGATTTGTTTTTTTTAAAAAAAAATCTATTTGATATAGGTTAAATTAATATAATATAAACATATTTTAATTCAGCTTTTATAACTCACCTAATAATATATGAAAACATTTTTTTTAAAAAATGTATGTGGAACATTATTTTAGAAAATAAACATATAAAGATTACTATTTGGGGTTTTTTTGAACAGACAGATGGAAATCATAAGAATTCGAAATCCTTAATAAATCAATATTATCCCAAATGCGGAATTAAACTATAATATAATAAATCTATTGCCAAATTGTGGAGCTACAATATTAAAAATGAACTAGTTATAAATGTGTCTATCTCAGAATTGGCAAAAAGATAATTTTTAACACATAACCTTGGTATGTTTAATAAAACTTTAAAAGAAGTTATCAAACAAAAAATATTAATAAGAAGTTAGTATAGGAAAATAAAATCAGCCTATTTTTTTGCCGATACGATCCTAAACAAAATTTTGATGAGCCGATTTAAACGTCTCATTAAATACTTTTGTTTTACAACAAGTTCTAATGATATTTAGATATTCAAAGATGTTTAACCATAAAAAATTAACGGCTAATTCTGAGATATACACATTTATAGCCAGGTCATTTTAATTTCGACAAAGCAACTAAACTGGCTAAAAAACGTTTAAGGTAAGGCACGCGGTGTAAAAAATCCCCCAGTTTAAACAATTTTGTAGCTTTTTTTAAAGTCGACTCAAACCCGGGTTTAAATGGAGTGATTTTACAACAATACATGAGTCATTCCAAGATTATAGAAAAAATCATCTATGTCATAAAATTAAAATCATTCAAAAACTAAAAAAAAATAAAAGTGGCTATAAGTATGAAGGACATATTATTTAAGTATGAAGGAATTAAATTATAATTTGTCATTCATGTATGTATACATTTTTTTATTCGTAAAAAGATAATTAAAAGAAGGGGGAAAAATCATTTCCGAATATATATTTTTTAAATGATACCTGGAAGTCATTAATAACGGATCAAATATAATTACCGCTCTGCGGCAGTTTAAAAAAAAGAAGAAAATAAGAGATTTAAAAAATTTATTTGATATTTATAATATAAATCAATTCAAGTTTTATCTCTTGTGACGTTTTGTTTGCATTAGCAAAACATTTTCATTTGATATTTTATATATTTTACATGGATAATGTAGTCATAATTTTGAGAACGCACCTTGAAAAATAATAATAGTGAAATGATGATACAGATTGAAAAAAAAATGATATTATAATTTTTATTTGAAGGAAGGTTATGAACTTTTAGTAATAAATAGTTCCATTTACAAATAACTTTTTAGAATTCTTTAAATTTTAATATTATATTGATTGAACTCGTGGTTATAAAATCCGAATTATTGATATGTTCTTTAATATTTAGTATAAAAAATATTGAATTATTTCCCATGTGTTTTAGGAATAAATGGTGAAGCTCATTAGCTTAAGTATATATATATATGTATATATTTAATTATAAAAATATAGCAGATTATTAAGATAATAATAACGAGAATCAAAAATTATATCTAAAATTTGATATTTTTATTAGAACGAAACGAACCTGATTTCTTAAATTTCGAATATTTTCAAAGAAATAAAATTATTTATGATAGAGATAAGATATCACAAATAAATTACTCAATACTGTTAAATATTTTAAAAATATAAGAATGAATCTAGAATAGAAGAGTTAATATTAAGGTTTGTTTACTGGCAATTTATTAGCATTTATATAAACAATCACATGGTCTTTTTGTTTCATAAATAATTCTTGAATCGTTTGCTTTTGCGGTATTGTATCAATATTATCTGTTGCATCGTTTAAAATACTGAAGGCATGAATGTCTTTCGTAGGATATGTTAAGGTAATTGCACCTGAATATATTTAATATGTGTTATAAAAATAAATATAATTATGTAAAATCTCGTAATTTTATTGGTTATCAGATAAAAACATAATAATTTTAAGAACAGGGGATCCAATAGAAAGAGGGTGAATTTCTTGATTTTGAAATTACTTGTTGGGAATAATACATGATATTTTTATATCAAAGACAAAGATTTTTGAAATTTTTTTGGTATATTTTGGAAATTTAAAAAATGGGATAGAATAGTGGTAGTTGAGTTGAATTTCGACTTTTTAAAAAGATAGCGATATTCTACTAGTCAATAACACTATATACAAATGATATAATTCAATAAAATAATTTTATGTTCATTCATTTTATGAGGAATATCTATAAATAAAAGAATAAAAATGGACAAAAAATGAATAATGAAATAAAAAATTCATTAAGGTATACACTTCGAGTTTTTATATAAAAGTCATATTAAGTTACATTTTTTAAAAAAAAATAGATATTTTTTCCTTTTTTTAGTATTATTTTGATCTCTTTACCAAGCTTAATTTTGTTGTAATTTATTGTGTTGTGTATCCTTGTAACATTTTATATTAGAAATTCATCATTCTTATCATATCCTTTAAAATTATCATTTGTTATCATTTTATTTAAAATTTATTTAAAAAATAAAATATTATTTTGTTCGTGATACAATTGTAAAAATCGATTATTAAAATTTTTTAAAATGTTTATGTAATTTAAAACCTCTTGTCTAGTCACTTAATCACTCATTTCAATGTAAACTTAATTGAAGTTAACTTGTATACATTACAAATTTCATGAAGATGCATATTAAAATTTATAATCTCAATAAAATATAAATTTATGATGATGATTTTCTTTAAAACTCTTTATTACAGTCAGAGTTGTTATTGAGCGGCGCTATAGGAGCTCCGCTACATTTTTTTAAAAACACCTGGATCGCCCCTCCTTTTTAAAATTTAAGGAATGGGAGCGGGAGCTAGCTCCTTTTAGGGTTGGAGTGGAGGAGCGCCGCGCCACCGCTCCTTTAAATTTAATGTATAAATTAAATTATTTTATAAATATTTGTTAATTATTCAATAAAAATGAAATTTTATTTAATTTAAATTTATCCATTATTAAATGTTTAGCCAAGTTTTATATTGGTTTTTCATCTATAATCATTTTAAATATTAAACGTAAAGTTTTTATTTTTATATTAATAATATTTTGGAAAATCTTGTAAGTCATATTAATATTTATTTTAGATATATAACAAAAAATAGTTTTAGATATTATGGATTTAGAGATCATAGATGAAGAAATCGAATTTCCATCATACAAAAAATATTTTAAACTTCTAAAAGATGTTAATCCAAACGATCAAACAAATTTAAGGGCAAAATGCCTTTTGTGTTTAAATAAAACCTTTTAATTTTCAAAAGTGAGCAGCTTCAATCTAAAAAAGCATAAAAGATTTAGAAATTTTTTTTGGGTTCCTTGAAATTGATCATCAGGAAGATAATATATTGGAGAAATATTTTTTAAATAATGATACCAAAATTACTATTTTTGAGAAATTCCCTTAATTAAAAAATATATTTATAAAATACAATACCTAGCTTCCCTCTAGTGCTCCTGAGGAGCGCCTATTTAGTATTGCAAAAGAGGTCTTAGGAGAGAGGTGTGGATGTTTTTTAGATTCTAATTTAGAAAATTTATTACTTTTAAATACTAAAAAGGTTATAAATATTTTGATAGATCATTTAATATAAATAAAGCTTTTTGATAAAAAAATATGATTTTGTTTCGTTATACCTTCAAAAAATGAAAATCAAAGGAGCGGTTATGGAGTAGCACTTCATTACGGGAGCTAGCTCCTTTTAAAAATGTAGTAGCGGGAGCTAGATACTTTTAAAAAGGAGCGTTAACAACTCTGATTACAGTTATAGTATGTGCTTATAATGTTTCTCAAAATATATTTAAGTTATCAAAAAGGATATGAGAAAAATTGAATTATATAATTTGTGTGATCCGAAATCAAAACGGTAAAAATATGGTCATCTATAAAATTTCAGAGGACTCATTTATTCAACATACCATATAATTAGTAGCTCTATCCCTTTTATAATAAAATTATTTTATAATTTAGTCATTATGGGAAGGGGCCTTTGTGTCAATGACTTAAGAGTCGAGCAGGAAATGACTAAAGACACGAAAACGTTACATAAAATGGACTTTGTTCTAGTTGGATAATGGTTAAAAATTGACTAATTTATATGTTTCTTCAAACGTTTATGGGGGGGGGGGGGATAATAGGAGCCACTGGTCTTATCTTTTTTCTTCGCCAAATTAACTCAAATCCCTTTATTTTTTTAAAAGAATAGTCATATTAGATTAAACAAAATAAAAATTATCTAAAAAATATCGAGCTATTAACACTTTCTTATAGGGCAAAAGAAAAATTTTATCTAAAAAAATATTGAGTTATTATTTTGATGTAATGGCAAACACGAGCATCAAATTCTGTAAAACTTGTAACTTGTACTTTTTTTTCTTCAATAAATAAATTATGACTTTTATCATTTTTTAATGATTCCCATATGGATTCTCTATCAAATGGAAAAAAGATAAGCACATAATAAAATAATATTATTTATATATGTAATCTAATAAATTATAAAAAGATGAAATTTTTTTTTTATTTTTTGAAATCATCCCCTTTTCCTTTGTATCAAATATTAATGTAATATAATATATATTTTTTTAAATATAATTCCTTATTTTCCAATTATATATTTTTTTTTAAAAATGGCTCATTTGTCTACTTTGTGTGGTTTAAAAAAAAATAATTGTCTTACTGTGTGTGGTTTAAAAAAAATGTTGGTAATAAATACAGCCAGGCTGCTACTGCATTGCATGCATTTAAAAAACATATTTATAAATCATAATATAGGATAAAAATAGGAATTACATTATATATGGTATATATTACACATAGCTAAATTAAAATCTTTGTAATTTTTTTATTTTCATTAATAGGTGTGTTATATTATTTTAATATTAAAATTTAATTTCAGAAAAAATCAATGTTAAGGTCTATAAAATTTTACGATCCTTAATTGTTATGTATGTAAAAATTTGGATATATTATTTACATAAAATTAGATTTTGATGTTTTGAAACATCAATTAACTAATTCTTTAAAATTACTTCAAAATTTTAACTTTACGATTTGAATTATAATATCGAATTAGAAGATATTTCTTCATCATAAATCGAGTAGAAAATAGGAAATATAAGTAATATAGTGACTAACAAAAATAAAATAGACACCCGCACAATGGCGGAGTTGATACAACAGCTTTTTGCAAATTAGGCTCAAATTAAGAGAAGGGACTCCCGGGGAAGGGGGAAGAGACTTTTGAGATAATACACCTTAGGGGAAGTATTTAGGCCTATTCTAAAATATATTTGTAATTTAGGAATATGAATAACCAAACATATGATCCATCGAATTATTTGTTTATTCGACTTAATTAATAAGAATAAGGATAAACATAAAAAAAAATATGGAAATATTAATCCTAAAGAGTAGGTTAAAAAAAAAAGGAATCAGTATAAAATTATTTCTTCTCACGATTTTATTATTACTATTATTTATAACAAAAAAAAGTCGATCAAATATGAAAAATTTCGTTAGATCGTGTTGTGTTTATATATGTAAAGATGAGTAACATTTTTCTTTGTCATAATAAATATCACATACTTAAACTAACTATTGTTTTTTATTGTTATATAATTATATATTGTTGGCTGATTATTATAATGTTCTATATCCATTATTTTTAAAATATAATTGGTTAAGGAGAACTTTTTTTTAAAAAAAAAGGATTGAAATCTCAATGTTATTATGTAAAATAAATGATTAAATTTTTATTGTGGATATATAAGAATACAGTACTGAAAAATTCATTTATCATAAAAAAAAAGCATTTTGCAAAGTGGATATAGAATATTATAATTCTCGGCCGACGACATATTAATATTAAATACAATAAATGTCATTAAAATACAAGAAACCTTTTAAATTAATTATAGCGCATATTTTTTTTAATTTTAAAACGTTAATTTGCCGTTGAATTCTTAGACAATTTGTCAAGAAAATTTTCGGTTACCTTTAGGGGATATAGCGTTTTTCTATCTATCGTTAGAGATTTGACAGAGCTATGATAGGTAGGCCTCTTCTCCATCTAGCAGGAATAAATTAAGTTGGGTTAAAAATGTGGAGCTCTACTTGTTTATGTCTTTTAAAAGTCGAGATAGGGCGGAGTCAAAATTTCTAAAATATTTCGGGTCAAAATTTCTAAAATATTTCGGGTCAAACCTGATTTGGGATAAAAGTCGGAATATAAAAAAAAATAGTTTTGCATGAAATGACATTATATTCTTTATTTATATTTAAATTATTCATGTGTTTTTCCCCGAGTGCAATTATATTTTCATATTTTTTAAAAAAAAATTCATTCATAATTATATCTTTTTTTAAAAATGTATACATATATAAATAAAAAATTTATTTATGTATCATCCATCCCCATCCTGATTCTAAGTGATTTGTCAGAAGGAGACGTAATAAAAATTAATTAAACAAATAATTAAAAACTGCCCATCATGTAATTATTTTTTACAGTAATTTTATTAATTATCTAGTATAAAATAAGGTAAATTAAAGAGAAAAGAAAAATTAGACATTCGAAAAGTGTTAAACATATACTTAATTTGACATGTATACACTTTTTTTTAGATATAATAAAATATAATACATTTAAAAAAATATATATCAATGAAAATATTAGGGTCATATCATATAATATAATTAATACAAGGAATAAAATTTTTTTTTCCAAATGTAAGATAATCGTAAATGGAGATATCGCCATGCATAACCATTGCTATCTATGTAAGTACTAGTATAATTAAACTTTTGAAAAGTGGGAGTTTTGCTATTTA